GTAGCTTCTAATTCAAATTCCGTTACATATATCTTTTACGTCATCTCCGAATAACGCCAACATCAAATGTGAGTGATCAACCTTTCAAAATAATGGCGCTGTCGTTTTTTATTTGCAAGTGTGAAAATTAGTATTTTTAGTACTTTTGGTATGTAGTATTATTAATAAAAATAATTTAATAAAAAAGAAATTCAAAACAAAATTTAAAAATAGCATGTTGCATTAAAAAGAATGTATGTTTTATTGGAGTTTATTTTGAGTCACCCTGTATACTTTAAAATAATTTTAAATTGTTGATAACTTTTGAAACCAACGAGGTAATGAACTTTACTTTATCGTTTACTCACCCTCTACAACAAAACTAGACCAAATTGTGAATGTGATTGATTAATAATAATAGACTTTGCTCTGACGCTATTACCCCTGAGAAATAAGTTTAAAAATTATCTTTTGGGGTAAGTCAAATTAAACCTTTACTTAGATACTTCCTTGTCGTTAATTCCCTTCCACTCCCACTTCAAGTGTTGTGTGTTTCTGTGTGTCTATTAATTTTATGCTAAACTTTGAGCTCTAACAGAATCTGTCCAACTTGCGAGCAAATTTAATTTGGGATACAATTTTGTAATTTATTTTGTTATTAATTATTTTATTGTTATTATGACGATTATTATTATTATTATTATTATTGTTGTTGTTGTTGTTGTTGTTGTTATTATATTTTGAAAATAAATCTATCCGCCTAACTTATGCGAAATATATTTTTTGCTTGTCCCCGTTTTGCGATCATCATAATTTGTAAATGAGCGTACGGGAATTTCTCTTCACATACAAAGTAATGATGTTGCAATGTCGGTAGGTGATATAGAAAAACAGTGCCAATATACACGAGAGGAGAAAACTTTTGTGTGTGCGGTACTGAAATTAATAAAGCGCTATTTTTTTTTCGTATTCATCGTCTTATGGTAGCGGTAAAATCTCTGCGTGTGCATCCGAAAAAGGTACGGCAGCGTCGAGCGGCAGCCACTTTGCGCCTTTCGAACACAACCAATCTCCTATTGACAGACGAACTAATGAAGGCTCGATCGGAGCGTTATGAGAGCGCGATGTTTAACATTTCAAATAAACTAATCTGCAACGTTTGTTTGTTTTGATTTGACGCGGTGTCGTTAGACGGACCCTGGTAATTTTTGTATGTTTACGCACTACTCAAATCGTTTTAAGCGGTTAGACGGAAGTCATTCGGGTATCGTTTGTACGAATATTTGTTGTTGCGTTGAAACTGTTGAATTAGTACAATTTGACAGCGAGACACACTGGGTCAAGGGGTAAGCCCCCCCACAGCCCGGTATTGCAACATGTATACTGCAGAAAAAAGTTTCGTCTCTCAGATATGATTAAAACAAATTTCAATAGATAATTTGTTTAAAAAATTGTGGGTATTGCAAACTTTAATCCAAAAAAATAAAAGCTATTGTAAAACAAGGAAATAAACCATTGTTTCTACTCCCTTCTGTAAAATACCTAATTATACACGGATCTAGCGTGCGGGAATCTTCACTTTACCACGTGAGTGTCTTGACCCAAAATTTCACCAATATATTCAGCCCATTTTGCTCGAAAAATTTGGATCGCGTCTACCATAAAAAAATACCATTTAAAAATACATGCATTTTTAAAAGCAATTTTTATCTGTTAAAAACACGTAGAAATTGCTTCGTGTCTATAAATCGCAAGTATTTGAGAGTGATTGGAGTCTTTTACCGAATAGTTTTTTACTTGGTTTTTATATGTCCTAACGTGAAAAATCAAAAATTACCTATTACCAAGAAAATTAAATTTTAATGTTCGTAATGACGTAGCTGATAAATATTAAACTGAAAAACGGACTTGTTTTACTATTTCAACGGGGTGAAAAAACGCAATTTTTCGAAAAGTAGTCGAAAGTAGGCTTGCCTCTTGCAAACTCCTCCAATGCTTGCCAATAGATTACAAAGGTTGGGCAATGTTTTTGCCTTATGCAATGTTTGTAATGCCATTTCCAGCGCCCATTATGACCACAACCCAAATTGCCTGCAATGTTTTTTTTTGGAAAAGTTCTTCCCCATTTTCTAAAACATCCACACAGTAAATGTCGTTCAAATGTAAATCGCGGAAAATTCCGAATTTAAATTAAGCATTTTCTTTAAAAAAAGAAAAAAATTAATCAAGACTACTTCCCATTTAACCTACATATCCTTTGAACATTGGTAGAACGTCCGGTATTGATCGATCAGGTTAAACTATATATTTCAAAGCAGTTTAATGTAATCGTTGTTTTACCACCAAATCTTTATGTCTATTAAAATTCCACGTATCGCCATACTGTCTTTCGGATTGAACCTTAGCAAAGACCAAATTCCTAGCATCTCATATATTTTTCCATCTTGAATTAAATTAAAAAGACCATCCCCAGCTTGTTTTGTTGTTTGTTTGTTTTAAATTATTGAAATAAAATGATTCAATAAAAAACAACACAAGATTCTCGTAAAATTCATTTATTTTGTTACAAAGTCATTTACGCGAAGAAGAGAAATATATTTTTCTAATAGCATTTCTGTACCTAGTGTTTCTTAGTCTCTTATCCTTTAATAAATAGAAACTGTTGTAGTCTCAACATTTCTTGCCAGTATGATGTCCGCGCACGTCGATTGGCATGGGATGTAGTCAGGAGGTCCATGCGTACACACGGAATGATCTAAAGCCTTGGACGGCTTCAATTATAGAATCTTTACTAATAATTTATTAGTCATTCGGTGTTGGAAGACACCGAAGCTGTTTGTTGGTGTGAGCTCAAATTTGCAAATTTGCATTTTCCAAGACTTCGTTAGTGGAACTATCCTATAGAACTGGAGCTTGGATGTATATTTTGATATTGGCTTGACCTTCTTCCTCCATGTCTCCCAAATCACCACAGATCAAATGGATTTCCAGTATTTTCAAGATTAGCCTCCTGTATCAGTCGCTCGTTTGGTATCATGAGTAGTATGGAACATCACCTGTGCTGTGGTCTGTCGTGAGTTATGAACGCGATTCAGACCATTCAACATTTAAGAAAATTCTAATTATATCATGCCAGTCATTCCGCAGAGACTGTCATTGCTTAACCGTCACCTGTGACAGATAGCTCTATTTTTTTACTTTTCTGGGTTCTTGAATCCGTATTACTTATTACCAGTTGAGCATATGCCGTGCCCACTATCTGAATAAATCTGCAAATGTTAAAAAAAATGTGAAAAACTCCGTTCAAATTATGAATGGAAAATTAAAAGGACTATATCAAAAATAGAGTCCTGGACCGTTGGAATAAATAATTGGGTTACTCACAAATGCGTAAGTAGGTATATTATTCAATTCTGCTCAACAGGTCGACGGAATGAGTGAATATTATGCGGGATTACAGTATTGAAAGTCGAATCTGAAACACACGGTATAAATGGGAAACGCTCACACTTGAGTCAACGGAAAGTTTAGTTAAATTTCTCGGTGATAATGTTCGACCCGCACAAACTCCTAATAACGTACCGATATGCACGCATGTATACGTATTTACGGCATGTACGTGAGATACGTTTGTTACACCACTCGTACCAAATTTCCGGTCGTAAAGGGGCGAAGTGGAGTTATTTTTAACGCTATTGTTTGACGTTGGCTCGATGACCGGAGAAGGGAGGTAAGTTCCTTAAGAAACCGATAGTTTCATGCGATTATTTTGCAATATCCTATGAGGAACTTTATTGAATTGGGTTGCGCTGGTGAGATGTCTGACATGCAAATTTAGATTTTCCCATCTGGGGCAAGATTTCAATTCAAGCACTCAAAAACGTAAAACATAGACAAAGAAATTTGCTTTCAGGCGCACCTTGACTTTGCTCGAAATTTCCACTATACAATGTTCTACAACAGCTCAAGTATTAGTGATTGTTTTGCATAATACGTCAGCTTTAATTTAGGTCTTCACACAACTAAGATTCTAACTCAACTTAGGTCAAACAATAATTATTGCCCAAAAGTTACATATAAAGATTAGTCTTATAAACTCAACTGTACTGAATTTTGCACTGTATGTAATCTCTAAGAAATTGAAACTATTCCAGGTACTGTTTATATGCCCTACGTATAACGAGGTTAGGACTAACCTGTCCCAAGAGTTTTTTGTGGAGCAACTGGAAAATATTACTCCTAGAGTCGGGATATCTGTCTAGGGTTGATGTCCATTCTAAAACCTAGGATCTTTTATCATTCATTTCAAAAAATGCTCAAAACTTAAAATAGAAGAGTAAAATGTTACGGAAGTATTATTATTATATATATATATATATATATATATATATATATATATATATATATATATATATATATATATATATATATATATATATATATATATATATTTATATAATTTACCTATATGAAACAATACACACGATATTGTATTCAAAGGAAGGGTTAATTTCAGTAAAACGACACGAGAAACAGAAATCACCGCATCTTGTATGTAGTCCATAGAACTTTTCATAATGTAATTAAAAATTATAATAATATCGAAGTATTGCTTTAGAATCTTTGACCTAAACAAGTTTAAACAATTAAAATTCCACCTGCCAGATCTGCATTATAAAAATATTATGTTTTTCCCAATTTGTATTTGCTATTTTGCCTGTTTCTCTTTTGTTTCGATATTTCTTTTTTTTCTTATTATCGGGTTATAAGTTACTATAACATATTTTATGTGCAAGGTTTTCATTTATATGTTGACACCCACCTACAGAGTTTATTAAAGGAGATAGGCAAAAACTGTTTATACCAAAGTTGTATAAACAACTTCACCTTTTTAAAATGGAACTCCCTTTATATATCTAATTAAGACGAAAAGTCCCGAAAGTTCGGTACTTAAAGATGTACATTTATGGTATGGTATTTTGTATACGAAAGCTGATTTATTAACTTTTTTTGTTTTGCAGTATGGCTCCGATGAGTTCGCTCACGAGTCTCCCCGGTACACATCTCCGGGCGCCAACTCGGGGTACTACATTGGCACGGCCGACAGCGCCCCCAATTCGGTGGGGGGCGACTGGCCCCCATATGGGATCAGTTACCAGACGTACGAAGCCTACGGGTTGGTTCCCGAGCCGGACACGGGCGGCGCCCAAGGTTTGCCCCCCATGTCGTCTCTTCGGCCAAATGGTGCCACCACCACCACCATAGCGGGCCCCAACGGACCGGGGGGAACCGCGGGCGGTTTCGGTCCTAACGGTCACCCCGCCGGGGATGTCGTCAGCAAAGGACTCGGTTCGGTAAGGCCACCATATTCCAATAGAACAGTTAATTGCGATTGCAAAAATATGGTGTTTTATGTTTTTTCTGTAGACAGGGTGTTTTCTAATTGAATGTCAATAATTAAGGGATCCATTTGAAAAAGACAACTTTATATGAACAAATGTCCTAAACGTTTTGACTTTTTAGAAGTGGTAAAGTTTTCAAAAAGGAAATATGTTTGTTTATTATCTGCAATACCACTTTAGATATTTTAGTGAAATTTCGCACACTTGTACTATGTATCAGGAAGCATTATTTATTGTTTCACTTTTTTTTTTGATAGACCAATGGCGGATGTACGGTTTTCGCTTAAAAAAATAAAAACCTCTTCTCTGCAGGGTGATAACAATATCGTTAATATGACAGTAAGCAGAGAAATTTTTATTTTTAAGTGAAAACCGATCGACGGAGAAAAAGAAAATTAAAAGATCAAATCTGCTCATAAATGAATGCAAATGTTTATCTTTTTTTTTTTTAAAGAAAATCAATGGCGTGCTGACTGTCTATGAACAAATAACATTTTGATTAATTAGTTCGCCACTGCACTGGTTAGTTTTTTTGTGAAAAATAAAATATCTATCTAAAACAAAACATTTAGTATCTAACAAGTAACATAACATCCTAACAAGATAAATAATAAACGATACTTATTTAAAAAGAAAAAACGGTACCTATTGTTAATAATTTTTAACAAAGTTGTCGGTTAATAAATTAATAAACACCTCATTGAAAATAAGTAGAACATGCAAACTAGATAAGTTGTTGAAAGTGTCCTCCACCTTTGAAGGATAGACGCTTCAGCTCTTTTCCTTATATTGCCGCGCATTCTTTGAAGTATACCTCTAGTGTTTCTTATTAAATCGCAGGAAGCGGCGATCCTTCAGCTCTTCTACAGGGTTAACTGGTGTGCGATAGACCCATAAGAAAAAAAAAATCATTCTCTTACTGCAACACTAAAGTGAGCAAGCCCGAAGTCATGCATGAACCACATTCTGTTCCTAATTAAGTATGGTACTTCTTCTAGCAATATTGGCAAATCCTCTTTTAAAAACCGCCGATTATTATGGTCATTTAGCCTTAGGAAAAGAAGGGTCCAATTAAGTTATTTCCAACAATTCCAGCCCAAACATTTACCGAAAACTGTTCTTGATGTCTAAAGTCTAAAACTGCACGGGGGTTTTTATCAACCCAAACATGGTTATTGTGAAATTCTAAATTGTAAATAGCAATTCTTCGTCAAGCAAGGGATCTGCGCGCAATTTTGTCCAAAAACCATTGACAAAAATTAACAAGGGAAAAATCTGTGGGAAGTAATGCTCCAATGCTCGTTGAATATGATATGGTTACAATAGAAAATCGTGCAAAATTTTCCAAACCAAAACGTGCGAGATATTCAGATTATTTCCATTTTTTGTAGTACGAAGTTCAGAATTTTCATCAATTTAAAACTGCTTGTTCAATTTCTGCGATTCTTACAGTCCTTTTGAATGATTATTTTCCCTCAAAGAGCCTGTTTCAGGCAACCTTCTATGTACATTTGAAAATCTTCGCCTATCTGGTATGACTCTGTTAGGAAAGCGCTCTTGATATAATCGCCTAGCTTCCGGCGCACTGCTATCAGCGACCATTCTTTTCTAAAACAAAAATGCTCACCAAATTAATAAGACGCGAAGAACTGAATTTAAAAACTGATGTTTTTAAACATCCGCCTTGATAACAGAATTAATAATTCTGACAGACACAGCATGCTACAATGATAAACAATAATTATAAATATTTCAAAAATACACCCCAGGGTTTACGTACTTATTGCAATAAACATTACTCATTTAAGAAATAATAATGATAATAATTTTCTGCATGCTGTCATATTAACGAAATGTTAATATTAAAATATTAACTGAAATAAATAAGTAAAAATAAAATGTTATTATTTACCTTAATTATTTTACATTACCCTCTTTCAAATATTTAATATTTTCATTTATTTTTTTAACTATTTTTAACTAATTGCGATGAAAATAAATTTTGTGTTTATCTGACCAAACGCTACGCATCTTTCACGTCGTTATTTGATGCTTGTCAAAGTCTCCTCTTGATTGCATACAGTTTAAATTTTCTAAATGTTTATTGTATTTAAACCGTCTTATTCGAATTCATCGTAATGCGTTGCAGAATTCGACGAGTTAGGAATAAAAAAATAGTGATTATTTGTTAAAAAACTGACGTAATGAAATTATTAGTACCATTTACAAATCTTCTACATTCCTTCATCCTGTTGGCTTCTTTAGAGCTAAACTGAACGTAAGTAACTCAGCAAGTTCCGTTTTGTAAACAACGGGCGCAGAAGGAATTCATAAGATTTGTAATTAGTATTATTACGTACGTAGCGATAATGAAATTGATTTTGCTAGAAAACAAAACCACACGCGAGGTTAGAGGCTCGTGTCGTCAGTGCTCGTATTAAGAAGTTTACAAATACAAACTGAGTAATGTTGCAGCTCGGCTGGTATATTTCCACATATTTTCACTTGTCAATCAGATAACAGAATAAATATGCCTCGGTTGACTAGTCAGATACCGGCAACAAACAACAAAATTTTAGTCAATAATAATCACTGAAAGTGCAACTTTGTTTAAGTCTGAAAATCGTGGTTCTGTGACTTTACTAATGAAATGAAAATAAAAATATACCTAAATTAAAAATATATAAAATGTACTTCAATTTTAATACATTCTAAATCAACGAGACTTTTAGTTATTTGGAATGGAATTTGTGAACTTAGTAGTCTTTTTTTAATAGCTGGAAATTAAAGCAAGCGCCGGTATTTTACATTATTTATTTATTCATAATTTTAATGGTTCCTATATGTATACAATATTATATATGCATAAATAACAAATAAGAACTTTTTATGTATATAATATAAAATATTTTTTAATATGTTATTAATTTACATTTTGGTGTCAGTATACGAGTAGTTGTTACTTTTTAAAATAGTCGGAGATCAATAATCATTTTTATAAAATTACGATTTATATTTTCCTGAGACAGTTTAGATAGATCTGTAGTCAAAAAAATGTTCCTATGCCTCTTGAACTTGCATAGGCTTCAGAGGATCTTCAATACACTCACTGCAGTTAATTAACGAAAATTGTTTCAGATCCAAACAAATATTATTTAAGGTAGGAAGCGTTTGGACATTAGGGATATTTTCTTCTTCATCGAAGTCCTCCATATCTTTGTTGTTTTGCAATACAGCTTTAAAAATCATTTCTTCATTGTTGTCGGTGACAAATTTCGCCATACTATGGAAATCCATATTGGTTAGAGTATTTAGAGTCAATTTGGTCTAGTGCATAACCGCTATCTACAAATGTAAAAAGACTCTTATAAGAAAGCTTTTATAGAGCAGCTTAAAATGTTTAATAATGTTGCCAATGCGAGGTGGTTTGGTGGAAGAGAAATAAGTTCCACATGGTCTAGTGCAATTTTATAATGCGATGTTGCATTCTCTAAAAACAATACTAGTTTCCTATTGTCTTCTTATGAGAACAACCAAGCTCGGGTAGCCACCTCGTCATGATATCTCCTGTTACCCATCTTTTTTTCTTAGTACTCATTGAAGACTACGAATGCGTCCGCTTAAAAGATCGACGATTTCTGCTTTTAGCTATGATAAGCGTTTTTTTTTTCACCTTCCATATTTGCATAAAACAAAATTGTAATTGGTCTTTATTGAGGTGGGTTTTTACATTGTTGGAAGTCCCTATGATGGGTGCGTGTCCGTGGTTGTTTTTGGGGGTGGGTCGTTATACACAAAAATGGATTTTATAGTTTTTTAAGCACTGCAAAAATAGAGTGGTATTTTTTTCAGCGTGGTCACTAACATAGGTTTTACGGTATTATATAAATTCAACAAGTGTGGTAAACGGTATTTGAGTTACGAATTTATTTGGCCCGAGCGGAACACAGTGGAGGAGTTACTTAAAAAGATTACCAAATGTGTTGTATACTAGACTTTGTCTATGACCATTAGTTTTTGGGTACATTTTTGCAAAACAGAAATACATTCACTGACATGATCATCTTCTTCTTTAGGTCCTTTCGTCATTACTGAATGTTGGCGACAATGGCAGCATACTCTTCTCTATTCCTTGCCTTTCTCAATGTTGGTCACTCTCTTATGTTTTTAAGCAATGAACATTTTAGTTTTTCCGGACCTCTCCAGCCCTCTATCTTTCCATCCATGATCAGTCTGAAAAGTTGATATTTTTCTCCTCTGTGTATATGTTCTAAATAGCTGATTTTGTGCTGTTTCACATGCTGCAGCAGTTCTCTGTTTGTTCCCAACATTCTCATTTGTCATTCGTTTTGTCCATGGATCCATGAATGATCCATGAATCTTCAAAAGTTTACGGAAGGCCCACATTTCAAATGCTTTCAGTCATTGCATTATTCTCTTTCCCATTGTTGAGGATTCCTTGGCGTATAAGAGAATAGAATAAATGTTTGTTTTCACAAAACGGTTATCCAGTGACAGTGTCTTCATTCTTACAAACGTGGATGTTGTGTTTTCAATTCATCCTCGAATTTCAGTCTCCGGATCATGATTTTCGGTAATCCAGCACCCGAAATACTTAATTTTTCTCACCTCTTCTATTGGAGTACCGTAGTATATTGGCTCGTAAGTTTTGATTTCTGCTGATGACGATGATCACCTTTGTTTTTAATATATTTATTGTCAAGTCATGTTGATCACCCGATTCGACAATGTTGTCTATCAGTTCTTGTAAGCTTTCTGTCACCAAACTGAACGAAGCCAGTCTGTTCCCAATATAAATGTTTTATTAGTTCAATATCTTCGTAGTCTAGTCCCTGTTTTTGGAGTAGATGTAACAGTGTTGAATTTTTGATGCGATCAAACGCCTTTTCATAGTCAGTGAAACAAAGGTACACGTCCTTTCTCTGATCTCTATATTTTTCAAGTAATACTGTTAATCCAAAAAGTGCTTCCCAAGCCCTAATCTGAATCCAAATTGTTCGGCACTTATATTTTTATTCGCGTTTCTGATAGATACGTCGATTTAATATTTTTAGCATAATTTTCAGAGTATGGCTCATTAAACTAATTTATCTGAAATCGGAGTACTTTCTTGATGCATTTTTTTTTTGGGAATTGGTATGAACTGAACTGTAGATTTTGTTAAAGAAGTTGGTGATTTCCTGAAGATTTTCTTGATCCAACAGTTTCAACATTCCTGTATATACGTTGTCTGGTCTAGCAGCTTTTCCGTTCTTAGCTGCATTTACTTCTGATGGTAAGATATTTAATATCGATTCGTTGTCATGTTCTACTTCAGGTTCCGTACTTTCATCGTAAAACATTTCTCGAATATATCTCGCCCATTCCTCTTTTATTTCTTCCTGGTCTGTGATTATTTCATTATTTTCTGTTCTGAGAAATTTCGCCTGCTGTACTTTCTTCTCTTGCTTCTCTTGTAGTTCTTCTAATTCCTTGCATTGGTCATTCATCCATTTTTTCTTGCGTGTCTGATTAATTTTTGGATAATGGTTTGGGTTTTTTTGAATTTGTCGAGGTTTATGTTCTTATTTCTTTCGAATTTCCATTAGATCTAGAATAGAATTTCATTGTTCATCCTGGGTTTGTTATTTTGTTTGCTCCTTATTAAGTTTTTCCATTAGAAAAAAGAATTTACACGGCAATTACTAAATTCCGTAAAAAGAAAATGTCGGCCAAGATTTGATTTTCGAAAAATAATAATTAATATCTACTAAACGCCATAACAAATATTACACTTGTAAAAAGGTTTTTGGGGCTGCTAGCTGGCGAGAAGATCTCGATATTAACACTATTTAGAAATCTTCCGAATTCCTTCTGGGTGTTGATGAATCGATCTGGCTGATATTTCGCCAGTCGTCCTGTTGGCTTGTGAGCTGAAACTGGCTCGCATTCTAGTGTGTACCTGCTTATATATTGTTTCAGGGTGGCAGAGCTATTTGGTTGTTTAGAGATTTCTTTGCATCTTCGAATTATTCTTTCGTAGAAGAATTGTTTATATTCAAGACTTTTATTTTAGTTTCGTGGAATAAGATTTGATGCTCGATTTCATAATTATATTCGGCAAATGTTGTTCAGTTTATTTGTTTTAAGGTTCTCTCATGCTTAGGTTTTTTTTTATCTCAATTGTTATTTTTTGAAACGGAATTTTGGTTTTGCTTTTTAAGTTTTGAATTAATAGAAAATGATTGCGCCATTGAGTTTACAGAAAACCTGCGCCCACAGTTCGATACCTTAATGCATTATGCCATCACCATCCGAACCAGAAGTCATCACATTAGAGATATTGAACGTTCCATTACAAAATATACTTCGCCATAACACTTGCTGTTAAAACCAAATTTACCACTTGTCCAAATCTCTCAACATCAACAACAGACGCCAGGCGTTTACAGCATTCCATGCATTTACTGCAAAGAATAACATTGTAGAGAGAGGACGAAAAATATCAAATAAGCTAAAACACTATGACAAATAAACTCATCACCAGTTGCTGAGTATCCGAACATCATCATCATTGCTTGTCCATTTTTATACCAAAAAAAAAAACAAGCAAACAATCTTAACCGCGACTCAGGTCTTTACGTAAAGTTCATGTCCCTTTTTTAGCTCCGCCTCCTCCGAACAGTACATAAGGAGGTCCAAAGTAGAATGCAAACCAGTTTCAGTTAAGCTTTAAACGTTAAGGTTGTTAATTAATCTGTCTTTCTCTGAACGTCAGCAACTTCGATTAATCAACAACCGACGCAGGATATATCCAAAAGATATGTAAATGGTATTACAGTGGCCTGGGGAAGTGCATTAAAAAAAAAATCAGTAATTTCGTTTCTGTGTTAACTACAATGTGCATAAGTGTCTATGTTTTTTGTTGAATCCGTTTCATTTTGTATATATAAATAACGCTCTTTCGTCCAAAATCATAGATATACCCGGCGGCAGAGCAAGCTAGCGCCAGTAGCTACAGTTCGGCACCCTCAACACCGGTGAGTTCGCCCCCGCCGCTGGCCCCGACGGCTTGGCTCACCAACACCCCCCACCTCACTGCTACTCCTCATTCCCCACACTACACGCAAGCGGTTGCGGTGAGCAACTCCGCCCCACAAACCATACACATGGTGAGTATCTCCCTGAAAGACATTTTTCAGTAGCCGTTATTTTGTCTTGTATTTGTTTTGTTTTTTGTTTTCAACTTGCGCATATATTTTTTTAAGGTGTGTTGTTACTAAAGGCTTTACGCTTGGGGATTGCTAGGTATAGTCCGACACACGATTATTGGTCATGCCATTAACGTTTTTATCTGCTCGTAGGGATGTTTGGGCCAATAAACCAAACCGGTCCATAGTGGTAATAATGAAATGGAAATGGAATGGGAAGGAAAATATACATGTAAAATAAAATTAGTCGTCAGACTAGTTTCAATCTATCTATCCCAAATTTTTTTTTAATTCTCTCCAATTACATGAGCGGATATTTTTGGGTTTATATTATTCTAATCGCAATGATATTTTGGTAATATAAGGGGTATATTACAATCAAAATTCAGTTCGATGAAGAATTTTGCTACCCTTTATTTATAGTGTCGTGGGTATCTGACCAAATCTTGCCTAAATAATATATGTTTCGTTTTTCTACGCGAAATTGATTTTGAATTGAATTTGAGTATATCCACATATCCAAATAACAGTTTTTTTTGTTTCGTAATTCTCCCCCATTCCGTCGTCAAAATTTTCTTCAATCCACAGTGTCAACATAACAAATAATGACTGTAATACCACTGACGACAAAGTGTAAATGATTTTAAAATTTCTAAGATACCGACACTACTAAAATAAAAATACCTCCTCAGATTAATAAGAGCAAAGGGCCTTTCAGGCAAGTCACGACCACTTATCGTGTGCTGTACTATTCAAGGTGTTCCATATTTTTATACTTTTGCGCAGTATATCACTTATCGAATAATGGTTACTTTTTCCATTAAATTCAGTACCCCTTTTAGGCGAGATCACACATAAGCAGATGTAACTTATTATTATTTTCTTTTAGTGGGACACTTGTTAGAAAACCTTTTATTTCGATCGACAGTTCTGTATTTCAAAAATACTTTTTTGCTAAAACCTCGTATTTCTTTTTATCTTTGAAGATATGTAATATATGCCGCAAAAATATTGAAATGGTGATGCCGTGGACAATGCGGTTTGCTTTTTATCTTTTTCCTTTAGAAATGTTGCATTTAACATTAACGTGATTTAAATTAAACCCAATGGATCAAGCATGATTTTTTCATTTATGATTCACCCAAGAGTTATGCTATTCGTCGAGGGGAATTTCAGTAGTGGATCTATATTCACTAAATTACCACTAGGTGCCAAATATCGCGAATCGATCTTAAATTTTAGGAACACACAGGATTTAGATCAAAATAACGGAATACGAAGGTAAAACGATGCACATTTTCAACACTAGATTTTAGAGTAATATATAATATGAGTATTATCTAAGCGACGTCACATCTATTAAATATTTAACGACAGATTTAAGTAAGAAAAAATTTTAAATATAAAATTGATTAATTAAATTTTGCCTGTTACACAAATAATACCACTAAGAAGGAATATCCAAACGTCTTAAAAATTAAAATAAAGCAAATATAAATAACCTTATCCTTCTCCTCCACATAAATTTAATAAAAAAAAAATCTAGAAATGTTCCTAGGAATTTAAAAATGCCTGTGTTCGCGAAAATGCAAACACCATGTATATATAACAATATAATGTTTCAAAAGTGTGAATCCAAACAGTTTTTGCCTAAGTTTTTTTGATATTTTTGAAAATTCTATGAGGTGCGACTAAATTACCAAAATGAAATCAGACGCGCTATGGGATGTCTAAGCCTGATCTGTGTTTTATGACAGGGCATATCATTTCTGAACAAAAGTAATTTTTAAAGGATTTTCATAAGTAACTGGTTCTTATTATTTGCAAATATTTTGGATTCCTCCTGCGTCGATTATTTTGGATCGAACTTGCTGACGTTTCGCCAATCATCTTGTCGCCTTCTGCAGACCTTAACTGAAACTGGTTAGCATTCTACTCTTTACATGCTTGTAAACTGTTTGAGGGAGGCCGAGCTAAAAGCGGAACATAAATATTGTCTCGGGTGACTTTCCATAATGGTGAAAGGTAAAGAGTTGCGTCTCGGTTAAGATCGTTTCTTTCTTAGATGCAAGAATTTTAGCTGCTTCATCTGATTTATCAACAAGCAACGTATGACGATTCCAGAAGATTTGTAAATTGTATTACAGTGGCCTGTGGAAGTTTTTAAAAATATATATGTGTCATTTATAAAAATGGTTTGCGAATGTAGTTAATAAAGCATTGTAGTTTCCTCTAAATAAGTTTGTTCTTTCTATATAGCGGTCAAAAGACAGTATTCCGAAAATAATCAGAAGCCTCTTTATAAGAAAATTAAAACGAAATTACTTTTATCACCCCGCATTTATTTAATACTTTGTTTAACGACGTATACATTTAAGGGACATAGTTTTTCGTTTTTCTGTTTGGTTTTGCATGGATTTTTTTTTTGTTTTCGTCAAGCCTCCTGCCCCCGAAGCACAACGCTTAGACGATGCGATCGGCTTCCTACGGAATCACGCTGAGGCAACGACGGTAAGTAAACCTCCAATCCAAGTGCAAAAACATGGCAGAGCAAGAACCACCGAACAAGTTTTTGGGTAATGAGCCAAATAACGAAAAAACTGCGTCAGTCAAATTTTTCGAAATTGTGCGCGCTTGGTAACGAAACTCATACACCCGGGCGTTCTACGGGACCGCCATTGGTAAAGTTTGTTCTCTTTTCTTCGTCGCCGTTCTATGTCCTTTGCTCCGTGTAGATAAAAAGGTGAATAACTTCGGCACGATTAAGGCTGTGGAGGGTCGAAATTTGGTTCCTTTTCAACAGTCCACGACGTAAGTAAGTCATTAAAAAAAATAGTCACGATCGCACCCTGACGTCCATTTCCAGCTATTTTCAAACAATGCTATGAAACAAAGAAAGTGTCTGAAATTTGAAGCTACTGACTTGAAAACTGGCACCGTTCTAAATTTTTATTTCCTGACGGAACCTATTTTTTGAAAATGTGGACGATGTGCCGGCCATTCGCAAAAACGAAGATTCATATATTCTTGGAATAAAAATCGGATATATGCGAAACACTATGCTGCAATTGGCAGTTTCTTTTTTATTAACGTTTTCGCATATACATACAGTGCGCGGGATATTTCGTGCCGTGATAAAAAATAACATTGGTTCCAATCGGTTTGAAATTTGCCAGGAGTGTAAGAACCCCCCCACGCGCGAAATCGAATTTCGAAAATTGTTTTTGAAGAAATTAAAAAATAATTGAGTTATTTTGAGTTCTCGAAAATAATTATTTTCTCGAAAACCCGGTCGGAAAACTTCGAACCAGGAAACGCAGAGGATTTTTTTTGGTCATATTTTTGATTACATAAAGGGTATGTTAGTTATAGGCAAAAAACTAAAGTTATAAAAAAGCATGAAAAATTGTTGGTGTTGGTTTGGTGTAAACACTGGTGTACCTTACGTTGCGAAATGCAATCTCATATACAGTTTGCGTCTATCAAACAGCGTGTTCGCAATATTTGCAAAAAATATTATTTGAAATAGCCGTTACTAGTTAATATTTATATGTACTATTATATTAAACACCAATTAAAGTGGGAGTAAAAGAAGATAAATTAAACGTGGGCGCAGTTTATAAAGAATTATTACCATATATTACTTAAATAGACCAAACAGGTTTTCCACCTGATTTAAAACATTGTTTTAATGGGATTTGACACAATTCTATTCGCAAAAGTTAAGGGTATCTTAGCCAAATAGCACAATTTATTTGCGGCGGTACTAACGTTGTGCTCTATTAAGTAAAGAATTATAAGAAATAATTTTTTAATGCGGTACAAAGTTATGCGTCTATGTGACGCAGAATGATGATAAGGCAATTACAATTAAAAATATTACAGCAGGTAAATGAAACAGAAATGAGACAGGAAATCATACAATATAGACATAGATACAGACTTTGAGTGTTCAGAATTCAGATGAAAAAAAATTGTTTAATTTAAACTCTTTTGTATCTGTTGTAAATGTGTATATGGGTGATTCCGTTCTAATTGTTACTTATATAATTAGATTTGTTAAATTGTTTTATGCATATTATTAATCTATTTTACTGTAAAACTGCACTTCAAAGCGTCAAGAACGAGTAACAAATGAAATTTTCCGTCACACCGTCCTGACTACATTTATTCACTTTACTGACATAAAATAAATTTGAGTTCTAAATTCGTATACACTATTTCATGAACTCGATGTTTGTGAACAGTACAGAACAGATGACGTACTTTCAACATGATTCACTAGACACACAATAACGCGTTTTACCACATACCGAAACTCAATTTTACGTACTCGATTAAAACAGTTTTAATCTTCTTCTGAAGATGCCAACTTGGTTGGCGAAACGCGCGTCGAGTACGTAAAATTGAGTTTCGATTTGTGGTAAAACGCGTTATTGTGTGTTAGTGCAGTGCCGAAGGTTCCAGTCAAGAGTTTGGTGATTCACTAGACATTTCAAAAATCTCAAGGTAGATGGCGCTCGAGACATAAATTCAAAATAAAAAAAGTGACATTTTTTATCAGTTTAATCATAGAGATAAGAACTAAGGAACTAATTAGTTTACATCATTTATTGTGACAAAAAAATGAAGAATTTATAGATAAATTTTAGAAATGGACATGACACGGTACTGACATTTAGCTGATATATTGTAGATTTTCTTTCAATGACAAATTATATTATATAAAATATGATGAAATATGTTCGTGATCATCTAATTAATACAAACATTTTCTTATTAGATTATTAATTATTCACCAGTGAGAACAAACAATACAAGACATAAAATCTCACAGGTAAAATAAGTCATCCATTTATAAAACTTTGTTTTCATATGCCAATTCGTTTTGGAATTTGGAGGTGTTTAAGTTCACGGAAAATGTTTGACTCAAATTAAAAATTGAAATTTCCCCTATCCCAAATTACCAACGAAATTACTTCAGCCTTGATAATCTATTATCTAAAATTTTACATGAAATGGTAAATAATTTGACAGAAACAAAAGAACAATTTTAAAATTAGCAACAGTTTATAGCTTTGTAACTAATCAAACCTAAATTGAAAATACCCATATCTTAAAGAAGAATGAAAAATTAACAAATTATTGTGCACATTTTTAGAGAAAAAATAATAAAAAAATAAAGAAAAACATTATATCCTAAACTATCTCGAGAGATGACTATGGTTTCTTACAGAAAGTCATTCTAATATTTATAAAGAATTTATGTAATTATATTGGGTATTCAATTTTTAAAAAAATGTATTAAAAAAAAACCAAAATTTGTTTGAATAATGAGCAATCTGTATACGCCGAGATTGCAAAATATGAAACTTAGTTTAAGAATAATCGTACTTGGTTCTTGTTTTGGATAATGGATAGATAATATTTAAGTAGTTCTTCTTTTGGACTTCAATAGGATAGAAATCTCGATGTACTGCGATACCACTTGAACTGCTCTACCATGTATTTGCCTTAAATCGTCGCATCTTGTCGCGGAGGTGGCTATTCCGATTGCGGGATGACGTAACATTTTGCAGGGTGCTCGGATGGAAGAAAGACTGGACGATGCGATCAACGTGCTAAGGAATCACGCGGAGTCACAAATAGGGTTGGGTCAACTTCCGAACAGCTTGGCCCCCCATCAGATGACGCAGCTGGGTTACGCCGGCGCACCTCCGCAATCGGACAGTCACCTAACGGACTCTGTAAAAGTGGAGAGGACCACGTACAACACGAGTAAGAGTGGCATAAGTGTGTGTTGATCTATGCAATATTGACCCTGGCATTTGATAGAGAAACGAAAGGAGCCGCCAGATAGCGATACCAAGCCTTCTAGTTCGGTCGACGGGTTGGTTCAGCCGAACTCGACTAGTGGACCACCAACCAAAACAACTAAACGGTCGAGACGATAGTAAGTTTTGACATTTTTGTCTAATCAAACGACGTATAAATTGGTCGTTCATATTTTGTTGTTATCCATTCAAAGGTAAAGTTTTTACCAAAATAATTTGTCTGCCTTGTACCGTTGTGCCCTTGAGGAAGCCCAAAACAGTACTATATTTTATCCGCTTTTCTTTTCTTAAGAATTAAGAGCATTAAGCAAAACTGTTTTGCAATTGGTAGGCACTTTTGTCGGATATTATGTAAGTTTATAGTAAAATACGTTATTTGGGTTAGTGAGATACAAAAATGATTTTAAATTATTTAGTTGTCACGTTTTTTTATGTATTCCATACAAAAAAACGTCGCTGTAAATACCATTCAAAATATTAAATCTCAAGGAACAATTTCCCATAATATATGAAAGACTCCGTGTGTTGCGACAGCTAGATTAAAATCAACCAGCATTCAATTGGGATTTTTCTAGAGTCGTATTTAATAAATATGCCAATAGATATAATTTTAGCACTCAGATATTAACTTTTGTGCTACAGCAAAATTCTGATATTCAAACTTGTACAAAGCAGTGCCTGATTTTTTTTTAAAATTACTGTAAGACATAAGTTTGATTATTTATTATTTTACTTATCTCTTTTGGAATGTCGTGGATTTTTTGCAAAATCTTAAGGAACATTGAACAAATGTTTCCAAACAAGAATTATGTGTGCATTAGTCATTCATGGCTGATTGGTTACTTGACGGAAACCAAAGGAAAGTTATTTATAAATCTTTTGAATTCTTCCTGCGTCGGTTAGTGATGAAACGAACTTGCTGACGTTTCGTCAATCATACTGTTGACTTCTTTAGAGCTTAGCTGAAACTGGTTTACATTCTACTGTGTACCTGTATACTGTTTGAAAGCGATGGAGGGGCGGACATGAACATTATCTGAGAAAACTGATCCCCCTGTTGGTGAATGATAAAGAGTCGCTGTTAAGATCGTTTGGTTGATTAAACATTTCTATAGATTCTCGGATTTTTCTTTGATAAAGGAAAGAACATGTAAGAAGTTTAGTTTTGTTGAATAAGATTTGATGTTCGGTTTCCTGATTGTGTGTGTCTGTGTGCTGATGAATTTATTTGTTATAGTCCTAAGGCTCTGTCATGTTCTTTTAGCTTAGTTGAAAATTTTTTACTTGAAAGTTTTTTTTAAATATATTTCTTGCCGCTTATGCATGGAATGTCATGAACTTCTGGATTTGAGAGAAGATAAGATGTTAGGTGTATTAATTCTGGGTTTAGCGATTCAGTCCAGATAGTTTTATGGATCTGTAAACAAGAGAGTTGATAACTGATGATTTTTGAGCCAGATGGTGGTGTGACAATGCATGTAGGTATTGGTTTGTGTGTGTAGTATATAAGCAGGTACAGAGTAGAATGCAAACCAATTTCAGTTAAGCTTTGAAGTAGCCAACTGGATGAATGGGGAAATGTCAGCAAGTTTGATTCCTCAATACAGAAGATTTGTAAATAGTGTTACAGTAGCAGCCTATGGTAGTTTATGTGATAAATTAAAGAAAAGTTGTTTGAATAAATAATTCGTTAATTTCTAGTCTAATGCCAATTTTTTCCAAAACTCATAACCCACGAGGATAAGATGTAATGTTCTTATCACTGCCATATAATCTATTAATCTTTTTGGTGTTTCTAGTCTAATGCCAATTGTTTCCAAAACTCATAACCCACGAGGATAAGATGTAATGTTCTTATTACTGCCATATAATCTATTAATCTTTTTGGTGTACGCAGTCTCATATCTTTTCTTTGAACAGCACCTTAACATGGCAGTTTCTTACTGCCTTTGAGGATTACTGGGATGTGCAACATTTGTAGCAGGAAAAACAAAATAAAATATCGGGTTTGCAAATTCTTCTTGAACTCTCCAAATTGCCAAACGTTAAGTGTACGTTGAGAAATCAGGGTTATACTTCTTAGCCGCGTTTCTTTCTGTACTAGTTTCCAACTCGTCTTCATTATTTTTGGTAGGTCTTCCTTTTTTTTAACTAACCGTTGTTTGATGTAACCTATTTTATGATTTTCTATAATTGCATTTTTTGAAACTCTTATAATTCACAAATATTTACTAACACGTAAAATAAGTCATTTAATTCGGGTTGTGGTTTAAGTTCACCACTGATCTAAGTCTACATCTAACCTAGCCATTCTTCAATGAGCTGAACCATGTTCAACTCCCGATCAAATTGACCCATCAGTGGTTAAACTACGTCCAACATTGAACCTTGAAGAAATTTTTTGGCGTAACGTATAGAATAAATTAATCAAAATCTTAATTTAAATTTAATGGACGAACAGGATATTTTGGAGTTATTTGATATTGGGATAGATCTAAAGACCTATAAGGAAAGGCAAAATTACTTTTTGATATCTCTTATTTTCTGTTGATTGGTTATACTCTCTGTCTTCCGGCACTCCATAATTTCTATGTATTTCTTGTCGAGAGAAAAGAGAATAACCTTTTCTTTATTATTAAAATTTGAATCCACTTATTTCCCACCTAACCAGTATCCCTACAATTATGTAAACAATAGAATATACATATTCTTCACATTAAAATGTATGTTACTGACCCACTGATAAATAAGATAATGAAACCATCTTTTAATACAATTTATCAATCAGCCGTTCCTTGAGGGCTGTATTCTTCTTTTTCTCGAGCGCTTGCGCAGATATCAAAAAGTGTGGCCAACTGGTGTTAACCGAGCAGTCAACTTAACCACACTGTTATTTAACTATAACAACTGTACTCATTTGTTCAAAAACTTTCCCTTTGAATGGACTATTATTCGTAACTATACTTGTGATAACTGTGAGATAGTTGTTCAAGCAACGCAGACGATGATGAAATCGAAGACCCCAGCAACAAGGCCGTACGCGAAAAAGAGCGTAGGCAAGCCAATAACGTTCGTGAACGGTATGTAAACACACACATTCGAGCACCGCTTCCAATGTCCTCCTTTCTGGTTCCCCTTTCTATCCCAAGGCCCATATTCAGATCACAAATGTTACGTATCACAACACGACCAAATTTGTTTTTTACCACAATACACATTACGTTTCAGGTGGAATTAAATGTGTAAAGTGTATTTAAATACAAATATCGAACACATTTGTGACAAGCCAAGCGAGGCAGCCATATATATAAGCATAATGGATATTAAGTACAAGAAAATCATCGAAAGTCGTATGGAACAATTCCGTTCTGTTTTTTTTTCAAATGTAATGCAGAGTGCAATGAAGTATTCATGCAAACGCTAAAGGGTGGGTCTTTGACTAATTTTAAGATACAAAGATCATACGAACGTGTGGCCCCAACGGCTTGATTTTTGAGGTTGAGGTCCAAAATAACTTATTTTATTTGGTTGTTTGAATAACGTCTCAGTTGGACGAGATATTGGATATATTGATGAGAAATTGAAATAATTTAATTAACCATAACTTTAACTTCTTTGTGTCGTACTCGTATTTCATTTTTGACTAGGTGGAGCTATTCTCCAGTCAATTTTGCATACAAAACCTACTTTAGTATTTTCCATTAAAATCATCCGTTTTGGATAAAAATGACGATGAATATTGAAGGTTTTTGAAGCCTTGGACCGTTAGATGGTAAGAGTATGTCCACAAGACTCGCGTTCATTTGGATTATTTTATGTGGAGTTCTTGAAGTCGCAAAACTCCAATCCAAAATGGACAAGATCTAAGAAATAGAATATTTGAATTGTGGGCCATTATTAATCAGACTCCAGGTATACTCAAAAGTGTTTATGATTTAATGTAAAGACGAATTGATGCATGCGTTAAGTTATTAGGCTTCTTACCTGATAATACAATGAATAAAAAATACATTTTTTCAAAAATTTGGAAATTGATCAATCAGAATTAAAAAATTCAAACGCAGGTTTAACTTGAAACCCATTTTTTGCTGCATCCTTAATGGTGAAAAGTTAACTCTTTCCATGTGTATGGACAGTGTAAATCATGACACTTTTATTAAAATTAGAAAAGGTGAGTGTGCGGAATCATTACTGAAGACGAGACGTGGGTTTATGAGTACAATAAATACGCAATTCAGACATCAGGCAAACGAATAACGTCCACCAAATGAGTTAAGATAAAAAAACGTCGTTTTCACCCATTAAAACAAGGCAAGGCTCACGGTTTTCACGAATTATAGCGGTGTAGTGGCATTATGAATTTTTGACAGAATGGGAGTAAACAAAGAGTATTATTTGGGCCTTTAGAGACGTTTGCGTGAACCAATTCCCCGAAAGAGACGAGAATTGTGGTCAGAAAACTTATGGAACGTACAATGGAACCATTGTTTGTATTTTTTGACAAAAAGCAACAACAGCCACCGAATTCACCTGATTTGGCTCCCAGTGGCTTCTTTCTGTTTAATCGAGTAAAAAAAAAACTACGGGTAACGCGTTTCAGCAGCCGACAGGAAATAATGGAAAAATCGCAGGAAGGACTAATGGACATACCGAAAATTGAATGTAAAAAATGTTTCGACGATTGAATCAAGGTGACAATATTGATTTAGATGAAAAAACATTTATTTTTAATTTGCTGAATAAATTCCGCGAACTTTTTGATCAACATGGTATTTCGATTTCTCTCCAACAATATACCCAATATCTCGAATTTCGTCTAATTGCTGTGTTATTGAACGAAAATATAAAGAAAAAAGTAATGAAAATAGTTTTTTTTTGACGCCCTGTATCGCGTTGCGAATCCATCTTTATATAAACTTATTTTCTTGAAATTAACACCCTGTTGGTTGACTGCTCATTTTGTTTAGAAGATCAATGTAATTTTTATTTTTTTTTTATATGTGAATTGGACAATAATAAGGAAATAGGGTAAAATCCAATGCGATCTATTGATGGTTCAATAAGATTGAAAACTTTCAGTCAACATCAGAAACGTGAAAATTGTCATTCAATAGTGTGTAATTTTCAATATTTAAAAGCCATGTTTGGTTCTTGAAACTTGAGTTTCGAAAATAGGTACAAAGACTAGAAGCGTTCAAAAAACAAGTGCAGTTTGTTGCTTGTTTCATGCATTGTGATTATTATTTTGCGAAAATTATTTAATTGTGGGACACAGAAACAAGCAATTATTTTAAATTTATAAACTCTGCAAAATATAAGGACACTTTTTTCTAATATGTAGAATGTGATCGATAACCATTTTAGCAGACTTGAGTCTTTGGCTGTTGAAAAATCACTAAACGGATTGAACAAAATGTCAATGTTACTACAAAGGCATCTGTTGAAATTTTTTATCCATTTTCTCCATTGAAAAAAGCCCTTTTAGATATAAACAGTTCTCAATTTACGAATTAACAACGATCTAAAATCTAATCACCAAGTCGACAGTGCTCTAGCCATTTTTAGATTGAATTTTTAAAATATGACCAAGTTGTAGATCTCCAACGGAAGCTGCGTATTTGCATTTTAAGTGCGTTGATTCTGACTAGGGCTCGACAAAAAGAAACAACTGTCTAGTACCACTACAAAATATTAAATGTTTTTTGAATCTTTGTTTTCCATATAAAATTAAGACTATCCTAAGGGTTGTACTAGTGTGGTGAAATTTTATGAAAATGTCTTTGGTAAGAAATAATTTTAAATTACAACATTTTAATTCGCAGTTAAGTTGGACATGTTATATTGAACATATATTGTGTGTCAAAAAACGCTCTACGAAATTGTTATCGACAAAAACACTGGTTTTGGAGTTATTCACAATATGTTTTACCTAAAAGCTTACACTGCAGACTCTCGATTTCGTTTGAGGGATTAATTTTAGACATTTTTGATAGTTGGTTTTTGTTTAAGAAATCATGACACTGCGAGCAAAAAAGGTAAGTTCTGTAAACTACGAGTGGCAAGAAAAACAATAGAAAATATCTTAAATCTTGATGTTGCGTATTCCACGATAAATGTAAGAAATATGGCAAGGGCAAGTGTACATCGTGTCACAATTATGGCACCGATTTCACTATATACAAGTACAAGAATTATTGCATTAAGATCTTTTCTGTAAGAGCGATTTTTCAGAATTGTCACAAGCAGCAGAACTCTGATTTTTTACAACATATACTTTCATCAATGAATCAGCATCTACTAGACAGTAACTTGTGATCAGATGAACAACAAATAATTTCCATATCGTTGATTGGTCTGGGTTCAAATGCTTATCTTGGACACCAAGGTTCCGCCGACATAAATCCCTGAACCTTGATTTGTGGAACTTTAAGCAAATAATTCAAGAATGTTCATCCGAGAACCACGGCCACTCCAAAGAATTATGTTTGCTCTTGAAAATTGCGATTATGTATTGCTGAATTCGAACATCTAACGTATAAATCTGCACCTGCTTATACAATGTTTTTCTGTTAATAATAAAAAGTTTATTAAATCGATCAGCATTCCTCAAACAACTACTAAACCAGTATATATTTTTTTAGCATTTTAACAAGTGCACCTTTTTATATGAAAAACTATTTAAATTTTTTTTATTTTTGTCCAAAAAATTAAAAATATCCCCATAAAGAAAAGTTTGAGGGCAAAAATGAAACTTAGGTCTTTTCCCCAATTTTCATTTTTAAACCTTGAACTCAATGGAAAAATTAGACAAAATAATTGAACAAAATTAAGTTTGTACCTTTACGTAGTTGTTGCCTTAGCTGAAACGTAGGGGATTTTCACATGCTTTTCAAAACACAACTGCATAAAGCAGATGTTCAACAAAGTTGGCTTGTCGCAAATTAGTTTGAATTTGCCTCGTCAGGACAGAGTTGGTCTAATATAGACTGTAAAACGTCAACCGAATGCAAAATTTGACTTGCGTAACATTCGTCATTAAGAATTTGGCCAGCATGTATAGTAGAGATTAATTACAATTATTTTTATGTATGTTTGGATATTATTATTCTTTGCACGTTTTGCTCAACAACGCATCGAATATGGGCCTGTATACATTCTTAACGACAAAAGTGTGTGTCAAAAATTAAAAGAGCACAAGAAAGATGGGGATTCAATTTCATGTTCGTGCCATATTGCCTCGCGTCGGCGGGAGATATCGACCTCGTCGACGTGCTCAACGATTTGTGACAAATGGTTTTCTGACGTTCGACGATGGTGATACTCCCCCCTGTAACGTGCGACTGTGTCCGTTATCATCTGCGGTTTTAAACGCTATTACATAAGTTGTGGTAGTTGTTCCAGTGCGGACGAAACGGAGGAGGGGGATTTAGACCCGGATGTCAAAGCGCAGCGCGAAAAAGAGAGGCGGCAAGCTAATAATGCCCGGGAAAGGTGGGATATCATTAATTTTTTCCATCACCATTGGAAAGTATATGTTGGCCTATATTCTTTTGTGTCTTTGCGTTGACGGGGTTGCTCACTGGTGGGCCTCTTGGACGAATCAATTTAAATAAAGTCTCTTGTTAGATAAAAGTCTATTGCTGCCATGTTTGAAATCGTAAAGAAAGCAGAAATTGTAAGCGCCGCGCCGGTTTCCAACGTGTATTAGAGTCTGTTTCAGAATGGTGTAGAGTAATAAAACCTCATTAGTTATGCAAAGGGACTACAGAGTGACACAGGATACTAAAAGACTTCTTTGCGAGACTATAGTATTGTTACAGATTAACCATTGTAACACCGTGTTCATGCTTTGTTCAGGTAATATAGAGACGTACCATATTCAAAAAGTTCAAAATTCCTGACTAAGACTGCTATATGGAGTTAGACCTACAACTCATATTTCACCATATCTAGTTAGATCAGGCTGGTTGAATAGGTTTCATCGATATAAACTTCACTTTTTGTTATTCGATTACAAAATTATTCGATATGCAATACGAGGGCAGCGGCAAATTTCCCGGCCTGAAGAAACAAAGTAGACTAACAATTTTTTATTATTTTTCAATATAATCTACCTTAACTTCAATACACTTATTACATCTCTTTATTGACAACTCAATCCCTTTAAAAAAATATTCTTTTGGTTTGTCTGCCAAATGAGCTGAAACAGCCTCTTTGAATTCAACTTCGTCGTTAAACCGCCTTCCATATAAGTCCTTTCTCAAATATCCAAACAAATAATAGTTGCTGGGGGCCATATCCGGACTATTGGGAGGATGATCTATCTGTTGGAACCCACACTTTAAAATGGCAGCTTGTGCAAGACCAGCATTATGGACAGGTGCATTATCGTGCAAAAGACGCACGCCTCTGGTCAGTTTTCCTCGACGTTTTACACCTATGCAGTCTCGCAATTTATGTAATAATGTTGCGTAATATTTACCATTAACTGTTGTATTAGTTTCTTTAAAATCTATCAAAAGAATTCCTTCACAATCCCAAAAGATCGTGGCCATCATCTTTTTTGTTGTCTGGCAGACTCTGAATTTTTTTGGAGGTGCTTCACCCTTACGACGCCACTCCACTGATTCTTTTTTCGATAAAGGTTCATAATAGAGAACCATAGTTTCATCTCCCGTCACAATAGTTTCTATCACAGGCTTCGGTTCTGACTCACAGAGTTCCAAAAAAGACCGCGCACTCGACACGGCGTTGTTTTTGAATAGCCGAAAGGTTTTAAGAACCCATCTTGCATTAACCTTATGCATAGCTAAATGATCATTCATGCAGGATTCGACGAACACTTGATTCAGAAAGCTTAGTAATTTCTGAGATTTCCTTTAAACGTCGATTACTCAATACCCCCCTCTTCCATAATCGCAACAATATCTTCTGTTATGACCTCCACTGGTCGACCAGTTCTTGAATCATCTTCAAGGGACTCCACCACGCGAAAACGTTTTGCCCATTCTTTCACTACAGGAAAACTTTAGCCGTACACACCATCCAGCCTTTCTTTAATAATTTTAAGTGCTAACCAACCCTTCTTTTGTCAAAAGCTTTATAACCGCTCTATATTCTATTTGCGTTATTTTCGACATTTTTTCGGACACGTCTTGTTTAAAATGCTGTCAATAAAAAATTATTTGACGCAAGACTTTAATTTTTTTTTTCGACGCTTACTAAGATATATATTTAAAAGAAGACAAAGTGTTATCGTGGTACTGGAGCTGCATCTATGTCAGGCCGGGAAATTTTGGCGCTAACCTCGTACCTTCCTATCAATACAACAAAATTACATTTCGAACGGATGTCGACAATATGAACCTCCGTAGAAAAGACCATTTAAAAAGGCCCTTCTCAACTAACCAAGTTGTAAAAATAATTAATCAAGATATCTCCCTAATAGATTTTTCTTTGACTCTATTGATCTTGCAGAATAAGTTTGAAAATTGCATTTTGGATAAACAAATAGTCCTCCCTTCTCCCTAATTCTCTCCCGCTCCCACTCCAAGCGTTGTCTGTTCCTCTGTATATCTGTTATTTTAATGCTAAATTTTTGACTGTATCTGGCTGTGCCAAATGGCCGACCTTAGCCCTTTGCTGCCCATATCTAATTCTGGATATAATTTTGTTTGCTTGCTATTTATTATTATTATTATTAATATTATTATTGTTATTATTCGTATTCTTATTCTTATTATTACTTTGTTTGTTTCGAAATATGAGGATAACAAAATTGAAACAACATAACTTCTCTGTTATATACGTGTTGTTAAATGTACTTGTTTAAGTAATTATTTGTAGGCCATTTGGCGGTTTCTCCCAAAATCCACAGTCATTCATTAATTTACAAAACAGGTGATATATTTCCCCAGACTTCGTAACTTAGATTTTGGTGACCTTAACCAAGCCCTAACTATGGAGCTCATTGAGCAGCCCCTGTCTAATGAGTAACATTAGAATTTTCCCTCACATTAACTCTCATGAAAAATCAAAATCCTCTTCACTCAACGTCTCAAATTGGTTCTGTACGTTTTAGGATACGTATTCGCGACATAAATGAAGCCCTTAAAGAACTGGGGCGAATGTGCATGGCGCACTTGAAGACGGACAAACCGCAGACGAAACTAGGTATCCTTAATATGGCAGTGGAGGTGATAATGACCCTCGAACAGCAGGTGCGAGGTAGGACGTTCGTTAAATATTTCTCGATAAGAGCGAGAACTAGATATTTGTTTCGATTTTAGAGAGGAATCTGAACCCAAAAGCTGCTTGTCTCAAGCGGAGAGAGGAAGAGAAAGCGGAGGACGGGCCAAAATTGGGACCCACGCCACACCATATGCTCCCCGCATCCCACTATCCCGCATTACCTGTAAGTAGTTTCGCGGGATTATTCTTGTTTAGTTGATGTTGGTTTTTATGATTTCCCTGCAAATGCTAAAACTGCAACTTCGTTTTCTGATCATAATACACATGATTAATATTACCGTCATAAGAGCTTGGAACTGGGGTTTTGTAAATAAATAAATACTAAATAAAAAAAATAAAAACTAAATAAAGTAAATTATTTTTTGTGTCATTCGTAATAAAATTACGTAAACATTTCGAACCCTGGCTATGCGAGTTACGGTAATATGGAGATTGTGTCCTGTGGCCTGAAAGAAAATTAGAACGTCAGAGAAAATATTTATGATTCCCAACAGGAATAACAAAAACAAAACTGTGGTTTGCGGCTGTACAACTATAAGACTGTAGCTTTGTATTATTGCTAGAATCACTTTAAAGGATTTAGCTGCAATAATACATGAAAATTACTTGGAATATAAACTCAGTAAAATAAAGCCACATGAAAGCATATGTGGTAATTCACTCAAGTTAAGCATCAAAAAAACTATTGAAAGAAAGATTCAAAGAATTATCAACTTTTGAAGACTTAGATACCCTTGATTCACATAACAGTACAAATGACTTAGCTGCAAGTTCTCAGGTAGCAAGTCAAACTCAAGTAGTAGTTCACTATAGATGTGAAAAGTACTCAAGTATTTATTTTCTTACCTGTAAAATCTGACCTATTTCTACAAGAGTTGATATTCAACATTTATTCACACATCACAGACAAAAATTCGGGAGGAGTTTACACATTGGAGAAACTGAACCAAAAATATCAACTAGGCTAAAACAACATGAAGAATCTTTAAAACTTTAACAAATTAACTGTTCGTCAATTGCCAAACATCATCATCATGGCATGTCTATTCTTCTGCCAAAGAAAAATCCGAGAATCCATAGAAATGCTTATGTCTCGCTTTCCTCAAACAATATATAAGCAGGTACAGAGTAGAATGCAAAGAAATTTTAGTTAAGCTAGAAAGAAGCCAAAAAGATGATTGGCGAAACGTCAGCAACGTCGATTGAACAACAACCGACGCGGGAGTAATCAAAAAGATTGTAAATGGTATAACGGGTTTGTTATTTCGTAATAACATGGACATAGATAAATCGGGCTTCAAATGTTTAGTCTGATTTGAGCACAACAGCTTGATTTCTAACGTTGGTAAAGACATAGCATTGAAGAAGCGATAGAATAGAGTTTCATTGATGTGTAGGTCTCTTTCCAGGGCGCGCCGACCACCTTGCCACACAGCGGCCCTCCCGGTCAGCCGCAATAGCATTGCTAGTACCGCCACCTGTACATATAAACAACATTGAAAACACACTCGTACAAAAAGGCATTGTCGTCGTCACATTCATCGTCACGTATAAACGCGTCATTATATTTTTTTAAGGATAGCAAAGCGGTTAATGTTGTTTCAAATTATGCGGTTTCTTCTTCACCGGGCCCGATTTTTCTAAATATATTGTTGCCGTAAAAAACAAATTGTCCCAGTGATTAGAGGGTCGGGCATTTTCTCCCTCTCCCCCCCCGGACAATATTCGGCTTGTGGTTCGAGAAACGCGCCAAGTATTATTTATGTAAATGTTATTTATGTAATATTAATAATGTGTCGATGTGCCAAATTCGCCCAAGCAAATACTCTGTTTCAACACGCACTATCCGTTTAGGTCTAGTATTCTGCTCATCATTATTTTTTTTAAAGCTTTTAATCGAAGTATTACTCTTGATCTCTCGTTCATTTGCCATTTGCTAATATGACAAGACGATGCGTATTATTAATAATTTTTCCTAAGTAGTTTTTTTTTAGTTTCAATTGAATTGATTGATTGATTGATCCGCCGGCCCTAAAATCCGGTTGTGTAGTCATCTAATTCTTGATGGGAAGGAAATACAGCCGAATTTTATATACAAAAAAAGTTATTGAAGTTATAACACTTTATTTAATTTTGGAACATCCTTTACAAACGTTCATCTTTAAATCGTTTTCCTAGAAACGGATATTCTTTTTCATTTTTTTTTTGTGAGCGTTCAGTTCTTCCAATCATATTTTATGTTGTCATCTGATGACTTGAAAAAGTCATATGGTCATATGATTACGATTGTGACAGAAAACTTCACCTGGTGGCAAGGTAAGCAATCGTAATCGCGTCACACATAGCAAGAATGATGAGAATGCTGTATACTTTCATTGCAGAGATGGGGCAAATAGCATTTTCGTAAAATAGTAATCACTTTGATTATGGTTAATGTAGGCTCATCTAGGACTGTTCGTTTCCCTAATACCGTACTTCGTTACTAGGACATACGATATTACTGTTACATTAATTAAAGAAAATAGTATTTCATTCCTTGGACAGTAAAGTGCCGTCCGATTCCCGTTTACCGTTTTTATTTTTATTTTGGAATTTGTGGTAAAAAACATGCGACTACACATCCGGAACAAATTTGAGCCCTTCCTCTTCATGGTCCTCATGGTAGAGAATTAAAAGTCCTTATTGTGACAACGCATCAATTTTTTACCGTGTAATTGTGGTCTCAGCGTTTGAGATCGACGGTGTATGGTGTCGCTCAATTTATGATTAAATTATTTATTTTCAAAACGGTGCCATTTCTTTTATAATTTTATTTTTTTACATGTATGTGATAAGCGATTTATTTTTTAAATATTTGTAATGCGCGGCGTCTCGAACCACTCGCACCTAAGCACATATGTACATAACACGATTATGTTGGCCTCCACGGAACGACTAGAATGGTCGCTTATATATTTTGCTCGATTACCACAATTTTTAAAAATGTTACTCTTGTAAATATTGCGTAGGTTATTATGAGAATTGTTGCCAACATAATCGCGTTGTCAGTATCGACGAGCCAGTATTTTTGTATATGATTAAACGGGAGTTACTTATTTTGTAAATATCGCGGAATTTTTTCACCTTTTAAATAGGCAAATGTACTTTTTCCTTGTTTCCAAGACGTAGGTTATTCCCCCCTTACCCATTTTCTGTTTTAACTACGCCCCTTGCTAATTTATTTCGTGCGATAATTTATAGATTTTAGGTGTTTTTTTTATTAATTAATCTTATTAATATAATGTAATGTTTCAAACAAAGCTGTAATTTTTTTGCTTTTGATTTCTGTTGCCTGTGCAAGTTGAAAAGAGTCTAATTTTGTCACAATTATTATTATATACGGGGTGATATTCTTGGTGAACACTAAATACTGGGCGATTTAGGAAACTTTGTTACCACTGCTAATTAAAATTATTGGTATATGGTTTTTCTCCGAAAAAAATCCGTATGGCTGACCCAGAACTAAACAATAAGCCTTAATTTGAGTTTACGTAAGTGTAATCTTTGCTTAGGTATAGCTACATACATATATTTTTTTAGATAATCATGTAACACCCAATGTAACGTTTTATTTTTAGATTTGTAGCGTTTTATATTTTGTTTTTCAGTTGTTGATAGATGTTGCTTCGACTGTCGCTTCATATTGAAGATTCCGGTCGATGCTGTTGACGTCCATTTTGTTGTACGAATGAAAACTTTGACGTTGAGTTCTTTTCCATGCAATAATTCATTAGTTAATTCGATACGTTTAAGTTTCATTCCAGCGGCAGCCATTTTTTTTTCTTTTTATTTCGAATGAAAACGGCAGCGAAAACTGATGGATATGTGCGTCGAAATATTCAACGAAATAATTGACGAGTATTTCTTTGAATATTTTCCGCGTCTCGCCCTATTATCGGTCCATTTTTTTTTTTGGATTCCAACTATTGTTGTCCTACGAGTCGAGTCGTGTTGCGTTATATATATTTTTGTAGTTAATCCAACATTCGATTAGTGGGGGCTCGTAAAAATAGAGGCAGCAAATAAAAAAAAAATTGCTTGATTAAAAACCTTAACATGCGTATAAACGTTTTAAGGCGAACGCGTTTAATTTTTGAGTACATAAATAAATAAAAACGAGTATATGAGTAAGATGGTCAGAACAATGCGTGTTGATGAGAGAATGTTAAGTTAGTTATACAGCTCTAGATTATGGTATACATAAATTTAAAAAAATAAATGAATATCGATTCTATGTAATATACAATACGTACATAATATACTATGTGCCATTTTTCATACTCTTGTGTTTTATTCCAATCCTAACCAACCTATTACGAACAAAACTTCCTGGATTTATGACGAGGAATGCACAAGAATTTACATCTATAAATCATGTTTAAGGCATCGTGTTTAAAACAAATGGACTCAAATAGTATTCAAAAATTGCAAAATACAAGTTATTAGAAAGTATGATCAAATAAGTCATACGTTGACATCGAGGAAATAGTAAATTATATATAGCGGAACCTACTCACATTCAAAAACTGAACTGAGGAGGAGGCTTTTACTTGATGAAAATCCATTTATCAAAATAAATGAGAACTAAAAGTTCAGATTTTCACGAAATTATATATTTTGACATGACAATTGTTTCGACAACACCGTGTCTTTATCAAATGTTACTTACATTCACCTATATTCTATTTTATTACAATAAAAAATACGCAATTACCTTTATAATAAAATTGTATCTATTTTTAATCAACTCAAAAAGAACGTATTTTAAATAATATTCTTTTCTCTTTTTATTTTCGTTTCGTTTTTTATTTCGTTTAAGTTTTGTTTTTCTTCTTAATGATTCCACATTGCAGATTATTATAGGGCAGAGTGACTTTATAAATCTGTATGTAGACTACCAAATTTATGATAAAGATTAGTAGTTATGAAATTATGTTTAATTGGTTTGTGTATATTGCATATGGCGCAATCTATTTTATTTTTTGAGTAAGGTGTATAAAGTTTTTTTCTTGAACTGCATTCTGAAAAAATTATAGTAAATCCGATTTAAATTCTAAGTGTTATGATATACGAAGTCTTAGAGGGTGAGTCTTTGAGTTTCATTCTTCTACAACTTTTATTTTTTAAACATTTGCGTTATTACCCAAATAGCACAAAGACGTCCGTAAAGCGTCCTCGGGATATCTGACGGGACATAGCGTATATCCTAGGGATATACACAGTTTACGACTACAACCATTCTATCCCAGTATTTGGTACTCGCGTGTGATGGAATTAACCCATTGGATATGGTATGGATATTTGAAAGCCACAAGTTGTTCTCAATTAATATTTAATCTTTAATTTTGCTTTTGATGGTAAAAGTGAAGGACTGGTGATTGATACCATTAATAAAATACGTTTTATACACATTTTTTTATTAACTAATGTATGACAGGTTTCCTGTCATTCTTTGGTGAAAGTAGCTCTTTTCAGCCAAGCCGCTATTGAATTCTCACATTCTTTTGATGTTTGTGATGTGTTTGCCTACTTGTCCTCATCTGAAAATATTTTAATACTGAGAAAGACAGGTTTTATATATCTACTTTATAAAAAAAAATAAAAACGAGACTGGTATCTTATATGTTCAAAAAAGAAGGTTTGACGCTGATAGTACTCTCATGAAAGTGATCTTAGATGCTAATTTCCACGATGATGTATACATTTATGTATTTAATTCCATTAAATACAAACCTCATTAAAGTATCATCGATAAGATATCTTTCATGAGAGTAGGTACTATCACGCGCAAAAAAAAACTCGAACAAATATGACATTTCAGTTTCAGTTTTCATGCAATATTTTTTGTTAACCTAAAAATTTTCTTAGTTTTTTTTTGCTCAAGATGGTACCTACTATCATGAAAACAAGCCTTGAAAAGTAAGAAAATCGTTTTCATGTAAAAATTGTACGCTATGCAGGGTGATTCCTAAAATTAATACTTTGTTTTTGGGGGGTGATTCTCGCATCCAAAAAAATATACTAACTATACTATATAACCAAAAATATCATTTTCTTCTGAGAGATTTTCTCTAACATTGCTTACTTAAATAAAAAATTATTTTGGTTTTGTATGACTAAATTTAACTGCTCAAAAAACATATATTTTATTAAATTTTATTTCTTATACTTTATTTATATTACATTTACGTCCTATTTATTTTTAAAAATCATAATACCTACTTACCAAGTATTAATTTTCCCAATTTTAATATTAAAAATTTCTCCTCTTCCTTTATGCCCAACCAATTAATTTTCATTGCAAGTTCATTTGAAATCAGCGGGGTCAGAGCCTGTTTTACAAACTCATAACTGCTGCCGCCGCCTGATCTTGCTATTTCATTGACCTAGCAAGATAATAAAAAATAAGATTGATTTCCAAAAATCGTCACTGGGCTGCGTAGCGCGTAGCGCGAAGCAGCTTTTTATTATAAAAGGAAAGAACTTCGCGATTTTGTGTGGTAAAGGGACGCATTGTTTTCTATCCTGCTCCTGCGGACCACTCTGGAACTTTATAAAATGTCCTTTACATCTCGTCGAACTTCAGCAAACATCGGTATATATTTTTTCAAATATCTCGCGCCCTTTTTAATTGACGAAACCCGAAACTCTCTCACCACACGCATTAGGATACTGTTCAAATAAAATTATCCCATCTTTAACGGTTTTTCATTTATCGCCTATAATTTAGCCACAAAAACCGAAATTTTTAGGATATTTTAGATTTTTTACCCATAAAAGACACACCCTGTATATGATATGATTGTTCGAAGTAGAGGTTATAGCCCTGGATTTTCCACGCGTCCTGGTTCAAGAATTTTTTGAAAATAGTAAATGGTTTTCGAGAAAATAAGTTTTGAACCAATATTTTTTACGATTTTTGATTTGCGACTAATAATTTACTCTGTAAAAAAACAATTTTCTAGGTCTTTTAGATTTTTGCCTATAATTTGAAAACCCTGTATATAATCGAAAAAAACGCCTGAAATAAATGTTATTGAACTGGATCTTCTGTGTCTGCCGGTTAAAGAATTTTGCCAATCGGATGAACGATTATGGAGGGAAACATATTTTTCTGGAAGCTAAAATTACCAAAAAAAATTCTAATATATTTAAGAAATACTTGGTAATATTTGATTGCGCCCAATTTCTACAGTTTAAATGTGGACACGGACTTTTACTTCTCTGCGAAATTTGAAGTTGATATCTGCAAATTTATTACACTTAACACATTTCGCATTTAGCACGGAATATCGGGAACACCCTGTACCTTAAATACAAAAGTTTTTGCTATCTATGCGGGCTATATCGCAATATAAAAGAAAGTAAGATCTGAATCATAGTCTTTCAGTTATAACCAATGTTCAATAATAGGGGGACCAATTTTTCAGTTTTTTTGAATTTGCCCTGTGTGTTTTTGAAAAATTGTCAAGAATAAAAGTTTATAGAGCGTATCTTCTGCTTCTTCTGGTTCAAGAATTTTTTTGATCTCGTAAACAGTTTTTGAGAAATAATGTTTTTCGTAGACCCTTACACGCGCGATTTTTTATTTTTTTAGAATATTTCCCGGCCCCCCGACCCACCCATTTCCAATAGATACTGTCACGGGGCAAAGCTGCATATATGTGCCAAATATGAAGTCGATTGCTTCAAATTTCTGACTCTTATCGTGTTTCATAGCAAGGTCATCGATTTTCGAAAGTAACAAGATTGCTTTCGAAAAATCGTCGTTGAGCGGGGAAAATTCGGAGAATGTAGCGCGGACCAGATTTTAATTTCAAAAGGAAGCCAATTGGGGGATTTTGTCCTTGAGGGACGCATTGCTTTTCTATCGTGCTGCTGCGGACCACTATGGAACTTTCGCAAAATCGATTGTCATTTTATTGTGAACACACCCTGTATAAAGTGCCCTTCACATCTCTTCGAACTTCAAAGTTACGGCAAACTTCGGTAAATATTAAAGTTTTTACAAATAATAGCGTTGCCGAATGATATTTTTTTAAATATCTCGCACACCCTGTATAATTGACAAAACCTGAAACTCTCTCTCGACACAGTTTGCGATACGAACTTTTAGATTTTCTGCCAATAATCGACACATCCTGTATATAATTCAAATAATGTTCGAAATAGGGTGATAGCCCTGGACCTCCCACATTTCCTGGTCTTTGATTTTTTCCAATCGAGTAAGTGATTTTCAAGAAAATATTTGTTTTCTGAAACCATGAAATACGCCGTAATAATCAATAACGTCATCTCGAACAGCGTATGTGATAGACGAAAACCGTAAATACAAAAATTGTAGCTCTCGATGTGGCTTATTACATTGTTTAAACCAATCTGCCATATTTTTCACGCATTTTGATTTACGGCTAATAATTTAATAGCGAAAAGAACGATTTTCAAGGTCTGTATACAATCGAAAAAATGTCTGAAATAAAAGTCAACTCGATCTCCCGTATTTTCTGGTTCTAAAAGTGTTCTGATCGGTTGAATAGTTTTTGAGAAAATCATGTTTTTCTGGAAGCCAAAATATTTAAAGAAAATTTTTCAAAATTTTGAAAAAATTATTTTTTTTAAAATATGCTTTTGCTTCCTTGCCAAATTTAAAATCGATAGCTACATATTTGGGTCACTTATGACGTTTTTGAATATAGTACGAAATACCCCGATCACCCTGTAAAATACCTGAAAACTTTAAATACAAAAGTTTTAGCTGTCCATAAAGGGCTATATAGCTATGTAAAAAAAACTGGCAACAGAATCACAGCCTTCTTGTTATAGTCAATTATCATTACAAAGGGAGACCAATTTTCAGTTTTTTTGCAAATCAAGAATAAAGGTTTTTGGTCCGGATCTTGCGCGTCGTTTGGTTAAAGAATTTCTTCGATCGCATATACCGTCTTGGAGAAATATTTATTTTCTCGATACCCTGCAAGTGCAGTTTTTAAATTTTTATAAATACTTCCCGACCCCCGGCCTCCCCAGTTTCAGTAGCCTTCGTTACGGAGCTGAGCTCTATACATCTGTCAAATTTTAAGCGGATGGCTTCAAATTTCGGACACTTATCGTGTTTCATATTAATGTCCAAAAAACAGTAGAAAATCTGAAAAAAAGATGGACTCCTTGGTTTGATCAGACTTATTTTTTACTGGTTTGTGTAGCTAGTGCACGGCTTAAAAGAAGCCAAATTTGAAGACCATGTTGCAAACTGTTCAAAAGATATAGCCAATTAATGCCAGGTCTACAGAGAAACGGAGAACAGAAAAAAAAACGACGCTGATCATTTCTGTACCAATGGCGGTCCCCTAGGAACTACCGTTGCCGAGATATAAGTTTCGTTTCCAAGCGCGTATAGATACTTTCGAAAAATTCGATTTCATCGATTTTTCGAAAGTAACAAGGCATGATGTTGGTAGACTACACAACAATGGTTCGTTCAGCTTAGAATTTATCAAATCTTATATTATTTATTATACATGAATTCTTAGTTCTTCAGTAATAATAACACCATAAAAAAATAAATGAAATGAAAGCAGTAAGCACAGCACACAAAATACTCAAAATAGAGGCCAAGTCGCCGTATACTTATACCGCCAACAAAAACAAGGCTGAAAAGATGGCGGACGACGAGACGGAAGAGAAGCCGGCGAGATTCGAGCGAGTTCGGCACGACCGCGAGTAGTTGCGTCATTGGTTGCAGCCGAACAGTGTTGTCAAATGGGATCTTATAAACAAATATATTAGTTTTACGTTTTTGTAATTTTTTTACTTAGATGAATCCGTATTTTCTGTGATATTTTTATTAAAAAAGCGTTTCTTGTGTCGTTCGTGTCCAAAAATAATAAAAACAAGTTGCTTTTAACGGTTTGATTCCGGTTTTTTTTAGGATTTGCCAATAAAATGTTTCCCAAAACACCACAATTCTAAAAAAACTAAGTATTTTCTTTCTGTTCTTCAAAATTTAACTTTTTAGGGGATATCTTTAGGCCATCTATTTAGAGGATATCTGTGGTATATCGCGTACAGTAAATTCGCAAGCTATCCATTCAGAGGATATCCCTGGGAAGTATTTTACAGTATATTCTTAGTATATACGTTAACGTATATCCTAAGAATATTCATCCGCATGTCCCGGGACATGCGACTTAAATGGGACATTGACATTTAAGCAAATTGTTCTTTTCGGGAGAAAACTATTAGCCGTGAATTAAAATTCGTTTAAACAGTATTGCAGACCGCATCGAAAGCTAGAATTTTGGTATTTATGGTTCTCGTTTACGGTACTCAAGATATTTGGAAAAATTGAACATCGCTGTTGCTCGCGCTCAATCATGACACGAAATTATTCCGGATTTTTGTTTTTTTTTTGTATTAAATGCTTATTGTGCCAAAGTATCTTTTTTCGGGATGAAGTAATGACAGCGATAAGCCAGGCAATAAGATTTGCCGCGGTGTCGGGTTGAAAAATCCTGCAACCCCGCGTTTAAAAAGCTCAAGCATGAAAACTGTTTCAGCGGACTTATTACCACTGCAATGGGTTGCCAATTAATTTTGATTATTAATCTCTAAAGTTCAAACCTCAAGACATATGTTTTTCATTATTTGTGTTAATCATTATAGCTAGTAAATAATATAATGGCCCTACTATGCTACTACGTCAAAATTCATGCGCCTCAGCTGGCTATGATATGGAAGAGAAGGGAATGATCTTCCGCGGGTACCTCGACATTTCTCACACTAACCTGCACTGCACCTGCAACAGTGATCCCCACACACCTAACTTCTTTTTGCCAGAATATTTAATGTTATCTGAACATTTTGAAAAAATACTGGCGTAAAAATACCACATCCACACTTCTTGACGATCTGTCAGCGGTCATGTTATTGGTTGTTGAACGCGCATTTGCATGTTGAAAATAGTTTTACAATGTCGTTCATAGTATGAAATAAATTCGGAATCATTCACGAACTCACATTGTTGAGTCTGCACAAAGAAATACTCAGAAACTTTTATTTGAAACAAAAAAAATAACCAAAAAATAAACATCTAAACAAGTATTTGTCAACCTAAGAATGTGCATAGGCTTACTGCAATTTCCTTTAAATTGCGGTGTTTTAGGGCTCGTTTCTATTTTGACTTTTCTTATTGATGATTCGCCCTTTTGAACATAGATGACGCCACAAGAATCGCTCCGAAAAATAATAAAATTAAACTACTTTTTTTAACTGCAATTTTTTAACCTAATTTCGAGCATGGGGTAAATTAAATTGTACATTTTGAAATACGCAAACAAAATCAAAGCCCTGGTCTTAGAAATTCACGATTCAATTTTAAAAAGAAAGCAACTTAATTTTCTCGTTTACCAACAGAAGAAAAGAAACAGGTAAAATAGGGGAAAAAATCTGTTAAGGTATTATTTGATCTCCTTGAATATGTGTCTGAAAATATTTTTTTTATTGTTCATTGCTATGCATTGTGATATAGCTTCAAAATAATCGTTCATTACATTTGAAATTGGATTTTCTTCTTACGGTAACATTTGGTGGTAAGTAAATGAGACCTTTACCAATTACCAATTCCGATCGATATTCAACGCTGGTATATTTTGCCATATTAACGTGTTTCTTTAGTAGGAAACAATTTGCAAATAAACGTGTCAACTGTTCGAGAAGTGAAATCGTGTTCAGCAAATGATTTGAACAGTACAATTGAATGTTCAAACAATGATCGAAAATATAACGGCATATTTAGATTAGACACACAAGACCATAAGGTGAAAACTAAAACCTGTCTAAACAGCCTTATATTAAGTGATAAACTAAGTCTAAGTCTGCTTGTACCAGGACTTATAATTCACCCTTTTTTTGTACGAAATAAAACTTTTATAATCCGTATTACATCAACTGAAAGAGGACGAGTTAGTCTAGTATATAATGTATTTAAGTAGATAATTAATTGGATTGTTAAAATGGAAGGAAGTTAAGCTAAGATGGTCAGCCATTTCGAAGATTTTTCTGGGGCCTCATTCCAAGAAAGTTTTGTGTTTCTTTCAGCATTCTTGATAATGTAGTTTTGCCAAAACTCTTTTATTGATCATTTCCCCTTCCGTGTGTTTTTCCAAACATCTGTCTAAATGTTCGCCGCAGAAAAATGTTTTTTACAGCTTTTCCTGGTGCCCGTTTTTCTTTACTGGATAAAAATGTCCGTTTGGTGATTGACGCACCAGTATTTAATCTCGAAATCACTTGCATTTTTGTTTTTAGTGAAATGCTTTTTCTTGTTTGTTATTTTTTATTATCATCCATGGTAAAAACTAAGATTATAATATTTATCATTACATCAATCGTTCTATTGCGCGCCATGGTCCCCGGATATATTAAGCCATTTATTTATCAAAAATTTGAAAAAGCTGATTTGCCTTTATTTTAAAAAGCTTCAAGAAACGGATAGGCGTCTAACTTCTACCCTTTATCCTTTTCTACTCCTATCAAATGCATGAGTATTATACCTGCAAGTTAACCTACTGAGTATTAAGTTAAGTATATATTAAGTATTACTAGAGGACAACCTAGAGACTTTGGTACACTATCTTTTTAATTGTCCAATCTGGCAACACTTGCCTATAAAGTTCGGAGAAAAAAAGCAATTCGTGTCGCCAAACTTTTAAAACATTTATACAGTCTTGAAGTGAACAAATTTTTTTTCAAAACTTTAAAACCAGAAGGATCCTCCAAATTCTCGATTCACGACGTTAATCGAATTTTACGCCCTTCGCTCTTAGAGATACGTTGGTTTCTTTCTGGAAATTAAACTATGTTATAAGGGTGTTTTGAGTCATTTTATTTCCTTTATTGTAAAATGAGCAAGTAAAATAAGTAACTAGGTTGAAGGGATTTGGGCACTTTTTGTTAACATATTTGTTCAAAAAGTTTTCCCCTAGTTTTATGTAAGGGAATTCTCGATCCCACAATGTTAACTCTATCTTCAATTTTAGTTTTAAAGTTAAAAAAAAAATATGTGTTGCTAGTGGTGGTTTTCAGAACCTTATGAGTTTTATCATTTGCTTCCAACTGATAAACCGTTGGTTCTTCTGCAGTGTGACTGTAGATCTTAATATTTTCAGTTGCTGGAGAAGGCTGAGAGTTTTTTTGGTTTATCCTTACGCTCCATTATGTGAAAATGGACTATTTTTTTCAAATATAATAAATAGTAAATGAAAATAAAAAGACTGTAATCTCAGAAGAATAATACACAATGAGAAGTAATGACATAACATACTTTAAATTCGAAGAAATTTCAGAAAGATATACTAAAAAAAGAGCTACTACAGATTGTGAATTTAAGTAAACCTCTTTGCACAATATTTTTTGTCGTAACTTTTGTTGTAACTCCACTTTGAAAATGAGGGACGTTGAAATCCGCTTTCAAGACAAAATAAAGGCAGTGGATTGTAAAAGTGGAGTGTTTCTTATTATTTCTCTTGTCTCGTAGACGACTCGGATCATAATGATTAAAATTTACAAATTAAGTTGTATTGTAAATAGTATATTTTAAAAAAATAATATTTATATAAAATTATTATTATATTCATTATTCTAATAAACTACCTGTAGTAACGCTGATGTCACAGTGCTTTCATTCGCCACTGTTCTTTCCAATGTATGCAAACTAGCGTGACCTTAATCTAGGAACGATTCGAGGTGCGTACCTCTTAAAAACTGAAATACGGAATTCATCAAAAACTGGAATTGCAATGTCCCCCACCCCCCCAAAATTAACTTCTGTGGAGAAAACAGATTTTATGTTACTGTGGGATCGCGCCCACAAGTCACAGTGCCAAATATGATGATGATCTATCATTTCCCACAAAAATGAATTTTCTTAATGGGCACCAATTTGTCTAAACGTGGCGGTGCTATCCGCGTAGTAGACGTAATTAATTTTCAACAATGAGGTAAAACTAAGATATTGACACTTTTATCGCGCGCATATATGCACGATAAAAATTTTTCCTCATGCGCGTTGATTAATTGTGCCCCTAGTGACACACTTATTTGTGGGTGCAGTTCGCGACGTTGGCGTAAATCAAAAATTGTCACCCGCCAACATCCGTGTAACTGAAATTGTTTGGGAAATTTACCAAACCTAATAAAATTTGAATCTCTTCAATTCCGCGTAAAGATTTCCTGAAAAATCGGTTTTTAGACTGAAAATTATTATTATCATTATTAATATTAACTTAATTAAGTTTTGCGATAATGGCACTTTTAAAATGTGTTTATTTCGTATTCGTAGTGTTTTGTTCGTAAATTGACGTAAACTAACCCTTTAAAACACGATATTATAAGATAAACTTAAGTTGAACATTGATTTATAGATATTTGTGTCCACAAGCAAAATTAAACAGATATCTTAGTTAGCTCTGCTAGTAGGAAAGCAGTTAGAAAAATATGAATAACTATTTCGAAAAGTTTTTTTTTCTATGCCCTTCTGTAAAATACCTAATTATACACCGATCTAGTGTGCAGAAAGCGTCACTTTACTCCGTGAGTTTCGTGTCTCACGGATCCGAATTACTTCGATCATTTCCGGGATATTATCGCACGGGTTTGGGAGCACTTGGATATTTTCGGAGATTTTACCGCACGTCTTGAATTTTAAGGTTTGTCAATTCTGACGTGCAAAATAAACTAGTGACTCAAATGCCGTTCACCTCACTTGTTGCATAGTACACTATTTTGTACTGCCTTCTGTAAGATACCTAATTATACACCGTTCTAGGGAAAGTGCTATTTTATCACGTCAGTTTCGTTTTCCCCGGATCCGAGCTACTTCGGACATTTCTGAGTTATTATTTTGACGGTCTGAGGGTCATGTCAGTGAATGTATTCGCGTTGTTTTGTAAAAAGGTGCTGAAAAAGTAGCGGTTGTAGAAAAAGTATCGTATGCAACATATTTGGTAAACTTTTAAATGCCGTTTACCAAACTTGTATAATATACTATTTACATCGTAGATATCCAGAAAAGCCAGAAAATGTTGAATAATGACCTTGCGGCATTCACTAACCAACATGGTCGCTATTAAGTTTGGAAGCGGCATTTTTACGGCAGTATTTTCTCAAAATATGTGTAAATCTCGTTAAGTGTTCTGGCAAAATGATTTAAATGTGTGGAAATCGCCGTGGTAAAAAAAATGGCGCAAACTGAGGTTAATGGGTAAAATGTAGAGGTATGCGCGGAAAATCAATACCGCGGAGCAACAATTTTTACCGTAGTAATAATCTATACCAACGGTACTACTTTTTCCTCAAGAACTTCTCTTGTATAACAGTCAAATACCCTACAAAAAACTACCAACTCTGTTTCGCCTTGATAACAAATACCTCCCCAAATCATAATCGAGTAACCTTCAAAATTTCTGCCTGCTCTTATGTTACGATCCTCTGCATGTCTGTAAACTGGAATAGGTGTATCCGAAAAGTGAATACCTTGACTCATCCTTAAAAAGAACCGAGTCATTAATATCCCAATTAACATGTTCTGTAACGAATCTTTAACATGCCACACGATGAGCCCTGGTTAACAAGGAAGCCGTAACAGGTATTCTGGCTCTTATTCCAAATTCTCTTAATCTGTTCCTAATCGAATTGACAGTTATTTATTTTAGGTCAAAATAGTCTAATGCACTTTTTTAATGCAAAAAATCTACTGCACGCAAAAAATTTAACTTGCAAATGTTGAAAATAAAAATTGTCTCTTATTCGCTAGAATTGAAAGTAATTTTTCCAACTTAAAGTAGATCCTAGACGTATCACAAATAATGTTTTTCTAAAAAAATCTTTTGTTCAAAACTTTTCTTAAGTTTTTAAAATTATGCGCTACTTTTCGTGGCGAGTGTATATCTAGAATTTTCCTGGGAATCAATAAAACAATTATATTTAAAATAAGAAGACTAGTATTTACTCCAGATGAAGAGAATACCATGTGTATATAAAAAATTAAGAAATGTGGATGAAACAATGCGACTTTTTTATTTTATTTTTTTTTATCGTTCGTAATTTCTGAGTTAAGGGGGTAGGAGTACCTTAGTTCGAATTAAAGGAGCAGGTAAAATCTGAAGCGCAACGATCCTTCCTCTTCAGTTTGATTTTAATTTTGACACACTCAAAAACCCACCTTACAGTTACTCAAACAAATTTAGGTAAATTCGACCAAACATTTACATTCCTACAAGTTTTTATGTACTGCCTAATGAAACGAGCTCGCATGACACCGCCGAAAATCCAAATTAAACAATTCGAATGATTGAATCTCCTCGTTAATAAGTATTTTCTCAGCCGATATTGTGCGCAAACAAAACCGGTATACCGAGGATCCGGGCTCACGCCGGTCGGTCGTTCCACATAACTTCCTCCTCCGGCGACATAAAGCATCTCTCTGATCTCACCCGTTTCCTTATATAAATACATCCCACTTTTTTCGGCGCGTCTTACATTCGCGCGGATGCCATCAACGTCCGGACGGTAATCGAAACAGATCCGCCACCGAACCGACCGATCCAGCATCCGGTGAATTATTTTTTACGTGCATCCGCCATGTCTTTCGGAGAACGTTTCTTGGTTTTCTCGTGTCTAGTTTGTGCGATCGGGTGCACCCAGCTCAACAATGGGACCGTCGCGGACGAGAATCGGAAAAGCTCGCGAAAAAGCCGCGTCTTGACATCTTACGCGGGGTTGGTCACGTGCGCAGTCAAGTATGACGCAGATTGTTTCATCGATGCGGCGCAGGAATATCTGGAAGACGAAAGAACTGATCTGCTAGGTAAGTAAGTTATAACATAATTCGACAATTCGTAAAACAGGAGCAGTTCTAAATTACAAAGATAGCATTTTTTTGACTTAGGAAGACCATTTGGGTTTATTTTATGTATGTTCAGTTTTATAGCTAACTTATAGGTCTTGTAAAATGAGTCAATGTAAAAAATAAACAATAGAAGAGCTGTTGAATTAGTAAATCCAATGACAATTACATGCATGCCGCCATGTAATAGCGCCTTCCACAAACCATTTCCATATCACCGTCACCACCAGATATTGTTCCTATGCTATGTTTTTCAAATAATGGACACTGGTCCAGGTGAAATTAACCTTTCAAACTCAGTAGCTACACAATCCGAAATAACATTTCCTACCCACTTAACTAACAAACTACGAACGATGGAAAAAAAGTTAAATAAAAAAGTCGCATATATTATATACATTTTTAAATTTTGTATATATACGCGATGCCCTGTTCATCTATCAATCTTAGGTAAAATATTTTTATTTAATCTGTTAAAAATAGGTAGAAGGAAAAAATGCGTGGGCTCTAAAAATAATTTAAAAATGTCTTTTTTATTTATTTTTCGGAAATACAAAAATAAATATTCTAACGAAATCCAACTTTTTGGATCATTTCCATAAAGTTAACGACAGTTTCAAAAATAAACGCAAATTTATCTACTGGATGACACGCCGGGTGTGCATTCAAAAGATCGAGTAGTCACTAAATTTATCTAGTGTTCACTAGTTCGGACCGCATGGGAAAAACATCCCATGGACGTCTGCAGGTCAGCAGTTGTTTGAATTACTTTCATTTCATTAACTAATAGAACTTCCACATTTATTTATTAATTTTAATTATTTCATTGGTTTTATTCTTATTATTAATAATTGAGGTACAGTTAGACATCTATACAACTACAATTTATAATTCCAGAACTTGAAAAACTTTTACATCTATAAAATTTTTCAAAATTCTGAAAAAGTTAAAAAAAAAGGTAGGTGTAATGTCTGGACTGGATTTGGACAACCACATATATTAGTTTGTAATCAAAAACACATATATTTTTATTTTGTATTACAATCTGAAATCCGCCTTCCAAATAATAAATTTTATTTTTTATAATCGCTGAACAATATCCACCTTGCTACATACAACATAAAATTAAAACTAGGTCGTAAGAACCTTACTAAAAAATAATTTACAATTTTCGAATATAAAAAAATCATTAAACATGGAGAAGAGTTTCGTAAGGTTACTCAAAGTTATTCAAGTTACTCAAATTATAATTCATTGTCACGTGCTAAGGATGATAATTTAAAATTCAAAAAAAATCTTTCTTTAATTCTAAGTATTCGATAATACTTGCATCAAGAAAATCATGGCTTCTATTTATATGAATGAGGTGAAGAAGAAGGTTCAGATTCATTAGATCTTTATTGGCAGTGCATCGAGATGTTTTTCGGCATAGGTGTAATGCAATTCGAATGATGACACTAAAAACCAAAGTTTTTTTTGCAAAACAACAAGAATATATTCACTGACATGACTGTCAGAATTGGCAAACGTCAAAATTCAAGCCGTTCAGTAAAATTTCCGAAAACATCCGATTGCTCCCAAACCCATGCGGTCCCTGAAATGTCCGTAGGGGCTCCGATCAGTGGAGTAGGAGAAGGGAGTAGAAAAAATATATTTTAAATCAATTTAAATCAATTATACTTTATAAATGTAATAATTTATAAATGATTATAGATGATATTTATCGTTTTCATAGTGTTTTTTATAAATAACTTACCGATTTTTATAATCTCGTTTTCTAAAAATTCTACTTTAAAACACACGATGTTACAAGTTGTTAGAAGACTTAAAATAATAAGTAACTAACTTTTGGCCAAAATTTCGATTTATTTATTTTTATGGAAAAAACATTTTGAACTTAAATTTTGTCAATAATAATTTTCATGAAGCAATCAAAGGTATGTGTGGTGTAGATTTTATTCAGATATCTGAAACCATTTCAGACATTATTGAATAATTGAAACTAATTGACTCCTATTTAAGATATATATTCGAGTGTGTTAAATTAAGTAATAAACTCTCGAATGGTTCTGGGGTGCCGCAAGGCTCGGTGGTTTGTCGTCTCTTACCCGTAATTTGCTCCCAGTTTTAGATATGCCGATATAATAGCAAGATATTATGAGTTTGTCGATAACACAGCTCTTGTTGTGGAAAGTAGGGAAAACGTAAATCACGTTATGTCATGAATTTTCATAAACAAATAAAGTACATAATGTTAAAAAAACAACAAATAATTCATGTCGAAGGAAAAATTGGTAATATAGATTTACAAAAGGGTAGTGTTTTAAAAATATCTTGATCTTGGTCAGTCTCCTAATGTCAGTTATTTATAAATGCAGAACGTTTTACCGAAAACTGAGTATTTAATTTACAATACATTTTTTAATGCATTTTCGTTATTTAATACATATTTGCAAGTATTACAAAATATAACACTTAATGTTCATTTTAGCTATAACATTCCTTCTTCAAACCAATTATATAAAAATCTAACAATCTTACAATATGAATTTATAAAATTCTACACAATGTATAGCGAAACCGTTTAATTGTCTTGCAAATAATATAAAGTACATTTAAAATGATCAACATTTTCTTGCAATTTTGAAAATGAATAAAAAAAGTTAATTCTTTATACCTTGCTTTAATTACCGTTGTAGAATATTGTAGAACTTAACAAAAACTAACGGCATTTTTTAATATTCATTTTACCCACGGAATATTTTCCAGAAAATGTTCATGTCAATTTCAAAATAGTACCAACACTTATAAAATATATCAACAAGCATTTAAAATTTCACATCGCCATTTTTCTACATATAAATTACTATCGTAAAAAATAGTTTCACCATTTTCTTGTTTTGTAAGGTAGGTGAACCAAATGCAAGGACTTTTTTTTTAGATATAGATACCACTCTTGAAGTTCAGAAATTTTTGTCAGTGCTTATTCAAAATCTGATTATATATAAATTTTTTTCATAAGTACACATCAAAAATGGGACACCAGGATAGCGTTTTTAGACGCACCAGATTTTTCTCTATCGTGCTAATTGTCCTTAAAATTTGGGTCGATGTCGCGTTGTATAAAATCGAAACCAGAAGAACCGTTAAAATGCTAAACGGACGTTCGAAATTCGAATCGGTGTGTTAACCACCAAACATACAAATATCATACAGTTATCTACATATTATTATTATACGCATTGTGCGCGATGTGTCATCCGAATTCGTACGTGAAATCGATAGCCATTCCTGTTTGTGGAACATCATTTTGCGCTACTATAAATTTAACCTAATAAAAAATTTGAATTTCACAGTTTTTGCGCATGTTATTTTACAAAATACCATTGATCTGATTTATTATTTGATTTGTATTCAGAAAATGGAAGATTGGATATATATAATTGTTATACCGAAAACAACAAACGGGTCACTTTAACCAAGAGAATATCAGAGAAAATATCCACAAAGAACAATTCCCGATTTTTTGGAAGAATTGAAAGTGGCCTAAAGAAGCTTGATGTTTTAAAGTATAAGAAGCGGAACTATTACATTTACTTTATACTATTATATATTATATTGTTATATATAGTATATATTATTAGCTCTAATTTCCACACAGCACCACGTCGATTTAGAAATCGTTTGTTCTTAATTCTATTTTTTATAGCTTCAAAATCATGGCCAACTAACAACAAAACTTAACCGCCGCATTATAGCATTATTAGGATAGGAAAATGTTATTGTTCTGCTTATTTCGGTAACAACAAATTTCGGGAATAGACGTTATACAAAGTCTGATCCGATAAAATAATTTTTAAGCCATTTTGGATCATCCTGTATTAATTGAAATTCAAAACATCCACCCAATATATGATAATAACCCCCCTTCGACTAAGAATTAATTCAACATTAAATAATTAGGGTTCCTTTATAGGAATAATTCCTAATTATTTTAGGGCCCGCCAAATATAAACCAAACTATGGAACTTTTCTATTTAACTTTTTTTCTCTCGTTCTTAGTTTTTGGTTGGTTATTATTAGAGTTATAAAATACAGGAGTGTATACGATCTAAAGGTACTTGAGGGACAAACGGAAATTGAGGAATAGAACTAGGTGGAGCCAAAGGGTAAGAAGTTTCAGAAGGCTAGACCTCAATATTGATGAAATAGGGAATTTCTTTGAATAAAGACTTTTTGAAGAGATTAAATAAAATAAAAACAAGTTTTACGTTTCTCGAGGTGTTTCATCAAATTTGATGGGTCCGAAAAAATCCAAAACTAAGTTCAGGAGAAGCCAAGTGTTTATTATGTTAATTATATCAGATGGCGTGATAAAACAGTTATTCAGTTAGCGTCTGTCGGTAAAATGGCTCGACGAGTTTGACCCAGTGAAGAGCAACAATAACACTGAATTACACTTTTCTAGACAGAGTGCGAATCTCTTCTTCCTTTATCGCACCGCTAATTGCCATTATCGCCCAAGAAAAAGTCGGAATTAGTGCTAAACTTGGATGCGGAATGATGCGTTTTCTCCCGCCGCACACGCACATACATACATACATACACATACAACCATCGAATGTAGTTTGCAGGTTAAGTTCGGAATAAACTAGATTCGTGGAGAAAATGCAATTGAAATGCTTATAGGTACTTTTCAAAGTCTGGTTCTATACAGGGCGTTCCAAAAATATTTTAGGTTATGATTCCTTCTTGAAAAACATGCGGTTTTTAAGATATAGGGTGTATTAAAAGGCAAATTTAACCCGAAAAGATTAAAATTATTAAATCCCGATGACACCTTAGCAAATGTTATTGGGTCGAGTTAATCGTTCAATGATTCGTGTATGTTATGTTATGAACGCAACTGATCTTAATAATTTTAATCTATTAAGGCTAATTTAGCTTGTTAATATACCAAA